TCTGAAACACTACAATATTAATGATTTTTATTCATTAGAAGTGTGCAAAAAAAAAAATCATAAAATATCGTGTTTTTACCGTTTTCTTTAAAAACGTTAATTTCTGAGTATTATAAATTTCTTATAAGTTTAAATGAGTATAGATAGAATAAAAATAATTATATAAGTATTCTACAAATAGATATCAATACAAAAAAAGATGATAACATTGATCAGGGAATTTTCTGAAGATTTTGTAAGCAGAAAAAAAGATAAAAAAATGAATATATAAATAAATAAAATATAAATAAGTCTTCTTTGATCAACTGTTAAAGTTCTACTCCGCCCAAAAGTAAGCATGAAGGTTGGCATTTTAATGTCCGCCTTCGAATTATAGAAACAAACGGGATCTTTTGGGTTTGTGTTATATAGTAGCTAGAGCATCCATTTTATCTATTTTAGATTTAATTGTATGCTTCTAACTTAGTATTTTCTACTGACGTTGATCACCTGTTCTTATGTAAAGTTCTTTATTCCTAGCGTCAATCATGTCTAGTTGACTTTAAAAGCCTAGTAATCATTAAAATAACATATAAGATCGTTAGCCAAATTATTTACAATTTTGTACACAGAAATAAGATACGAATTTTTATTTATTTTCATACATTTATTTGCTTTTTTATTTCTTTTTAATTAAAATATTTCTATATATATTTATATTAGAATATAAAACGTTCCTTTTACAAAAAACAAAATCAATTTGCCATTTAGAACTTGAGTAATTTACAATTAAAGTCCTCCATTTTCTTCATTCAAATCAATGATAATTTACTACATAACTAGATATTTGTAACATTAATTTAAAAACTTTTTTTTAAATTTTCGTAGAACAACCATGTAGTGTAAATACATTTATGACAAACAATTTAGCAGAAATAGAAAATCCAGTTTCTAGGTGTCTTTTTTTAGAAAATTAACGATTAGTAATAATTTAACTTACAACTCTCCAATAAAAAGATATTAAATTTTTTTTCTTTTTGCTATTTAAAATAAAAAAAGGTGATTTAATCAATCTACAATACACAAATGTTGGTGTGAATATTCAATAAAAAAAATGTTGATTTTATTTCAACAGAGCTAAAATATCTGCAAAATAAACAATAATATAATATAATGTGGAATAGAAGACCGCAACCCGGCTAAAATCATTTTGTCAATGCTGTAGAGAAACCTCCATAGACATGAAAAAATTACTTTATTAGTAAACATGGAAATTGGTTTTATAATTCATCCGACTTTCAATTATCGTTAAATAAAAATTGAATTTCGTTATTTAATTCACTGAACACTAGTAGACGCATAAATTGCATTTGAAGAAATTTATATTGAATTGAATGTAAAGAAAATTGTTATTTGAAGTAAGTAGTACTGTTTTTGTAAAGTTTATTATTTTTGTGTATTTATGTATTTTTCGCGATCTTGGGTTACTCGATAATGTTGTTTATTTAGTTTCCAAGAAAGTTGGAAGATTTTATTAATTCTATTTTAGACATATTTACTAGTTATTCAGTTTTTTAATAAAGAATTATTTTTTATTAGCATGAAACAACTTTTATTTTAAAAAATTATAAAATACATTGTGAACGATGAAGTATTGATAATAATTAGTTCATACGCATAATTTTTTTCTTTCTAAGAAAAAGTGTATAAATTAATTGTGAAATATGATACAAGTTTTTGGCAATATATTAAAAAGCACCCACCTATCTCGTTGAAGTCATTAAAAATGTATCCTGTCTTTAAAACTCATATTTTCAATAACGAGGCGAACGGCCGGAAACTAGTTACACGTGTTCAGATTTATCTCTTCACTCTTGTTTTTTTACAGACAATTCTTCGACGATCCAATGTCATTGTTAATTACCGACTACAATTTTTACATCATTTTTTGTTTTTATTTTTTTCTACTTTGATCCTTAAGCTAAGAATATTTTTCATCGGTTATTATCTTATCCACAATTTAGATAGAATAGTATCTTTAGGCAAATAACAAAAATAAATACTGTTATTCTTTATTTCTACCTTTGTTTATAATAATAAGTAATAATAATAGTTATTATTTTACTTCAATTATGGCTGCGCGATCTATCACAGGTGACTGATACGTGATTGGTCAGTTTAAAATTTTGCTATTTCAGAAAATATTGATTGAACCCAATCTTCGTAAAGAAATTCTCTGTTCAGTTGTCGATACAGAATATGAGGTTGCAGTTAGAATATTCTATTATTTTTTCATCTTGAATAATTGTATTTCAAAATACACATAAATAGACATTTATAATTAATCAAAATTACTGAGATTGTAGTATTGGAGATCGCTCTTCTTTATGTCTACACAACTCAATTCATTTCTATTAGTGTATTATTATTAATTGACGAGTAATAAATTTTCAAATGCATGAAATTCATAGCAATAAAAATATCCATTTTTTTCTCCTTTTATTTTGTTATTAATTTCTTTGCGTAGTTTTAATTAATTAGAATCTTTTGTATTGTAGTGTTTGATATAGGTCTTGTTATAAGCTAAAAAATTTACACATCAATTAATTAATGTTTATGAACTCTCAGTCTTTTACTAATTTTTATTATTAATAATTTTCTAGTGATGAAAAGTATTATTTCCAATAATAATAATAAAAAAAATCATTTAAATCAAATATTTTCTTAATATTGTCATTAAATTAAATACATTTTTTATGTGCCGAAATAGCTCAGTTGGGAGAGCGTTAGACTGAAGATCTAAATGTCCCCGGTTCAATCCCGGGTTTCGGCAAGCATTATTTTTATTATCTTCACAGTTTGTCCTCCTTTTTTAATGTTTATAATAATTTTTTCATTATTCTTTAATTTAAATTCATTATTTGTTTTTTTCTTCAATTCTATTTTTCTCTTCTTGGTCCATTCGTCACACAAATAACCCATGAATTTAATTAATTAACAATCAAAGTTATTAACTAGAAATTTCGATATCAATTTTTTTCTGTACAAAATTTACTTCTATATACATTTTATGATTTTATAATACTTTTATGAAAGATGGATTAATAGAAATCAGTATTTTTCTCTGAATATTCCAATGGTTCAATATGGATTGAGAGGAAAAATTATCGTTGTTGAGAGAAAAAGAAAAAAAAAACAATAACAAATTATTTTCTTAAAAATCCTAACATTTCAATTCAACTTAAATTACGATTTAGTCGTACTACATCAATTTTATTGATGATACGGATACACCTTTTGCGACTATATACTAGTCGGCTTCCAGCTGTTTTCTGAAAATCACTAGAATCTATAAAACTATTAAAACATCCCAGAATTACTAGAATTTTTTAAGAAGAATTTTTTTTTACTTTAATTTACTTTTTTTTCAGTGTTGTTAGATCTTTGAGTTCCGTGTAACTTAATACCGTTGTCTTTTGGATGATGACTATGAAGTAATGCATCTGGTGGAATGACTTGAAGATGAATGAATTTTTAAATTAAAATTGGAAAAAAGTAGGCGGAAACGTAAGATAAATAGATAGATATTTTTTGTGTTGATAAACATGTGGGTTTTTTAAATGGAGATGAATTAGAGTAATTAATGGTAATGTATAGTTATATTTTTTTATCTCAAGTTTACTTCTCTTCGCGGCACGCAACCTTGTTTTACGCACGCTGCTTTACATCGTCCGCCCCTCACCCGGTAACCTTATGTGTCCTTTTGGCCTGTCCAGTGCTATTTTTTACCTCCTTCTTTCACAGCAGCCTATCTGCTTCTGACTTTTGATCGCTGCGTCTCTTGCGTCACTAGCCTGACATCGATACCTAAGTGTCCCCATCCTTCTCCCTCCACTCACTTACTGTTTGCTATTCCCCTATCGTCACTAGCTCGTTCTTCCCCTCCCTCCTCCTCTTTTTCCACTATCGTGCCCCCTTTTGCCCGGAAGTTCTGCGCGATTCCGTGCTTGGGCGTGCGCATTGCCCTGTGTCTCACTTTCACATTTCTCAGCACCTCACGCGCGCTCGTCATTCTCGTCCTCCATGACAGCACAGACGGCTGAACATCACACAGCGACACCACGGTCTCCTGGGTGTGCTTTCCGCCACTCTATGTGGCGGGCCACCTGCCACAGTCGGGCTCCTATGGGATGCCGCCTTGCGCAACTCATGCCGACTCTGGCATCTCTTCTCTCTCCCCGTCCCCTCCGCGCCACCGCGCTTTTGGCCTCTTTGTAACGAACCCATTGCCATCACCCGCCCCTCATCCTTCCGAGGGGTTGGCAAAGCGTATTTGTTGTCCGGACGAATGTTGCGTTTTATTTCGGCTCCGCCTCTTGAGCGCGCATCTCGTGCCACAACGTTGTTTCCAACATCATCCTGTCTCTAAGCATCTCCTGAACTGATACCATCTACATTAGAAAATTTTTTTAACTACAGTCGACTCTTGTTCATTCAAACCTGCGATAATTCGAACCTCTCTATAATTTAAAGTTATTACGAGTTCCCTACAAAATTTTTTTATATTCCACAATGTTGACATATATTTTTGCTATTTTTTTTGTAGAATTTATTGCATGTATTGATGTCAAAATAATTCAATTAAATCAACCTCTCTGATGATGTCATTTCATAGTAAAAATGAAATCTTAAAATTTCTGTCAATCATGGCAATAGCAATTGGACTTTCTACAAATGAAACAGTGAAAATAATGAAATAGACTGCAAAATCAGTAAATATTTATGATTTTGCAGTGTATTTCATTATTTTCACTGTTCCATTTTTAGAGAGAGGATAATTAATTAGATATAAATGTTAAGATGATTTTTTAAATTATTATTACAAAAAAAATAAATAGTAGATATTAGCTGTAGAGGTATATAAGTCGTGAAAGTAATAAAAAAACTAAAACCGCATACGACCTTATTACGTTGAAAACGTGGTATGGTGTAGACCGGAAGAAATAAATTTTTAACGATACCTATTATCCAGCGAAGGATGGAGATTTTACGGTCCATTGATTGTACAATGAGTCATGTCAAAATTTGTTGTCAAAATTACAATGTTAAACTTAAACAACAAAAACAAAGTGAACAGTAATAATTGTTTACTCACAAACTCTATCATTGTATACTTTTATGTTTTCACTTCATTTTACTTTACCTATTTTATTCAATCACACTTTCCTGTCTTGATTCACTTACAATATCACTCACCTGAATTTAATAGGTGTTTTATAAACTAAACTTCGCGTCCTTTCTGAAAAAAAAATTAATTACAATAAGGTATCAATGACAGTCATAAATTACATAAATGTCAACAAAATTTAGTTGATAAAAAAACTTTCTACATTTTTTCCAGCTGTTAGTATAGTATCGATAATCACTTCAATTACCACCTATCAGTTTAATAGGGAATCATGAGAGCAAGTGCCATTTCACGTGTACTTTTCCACCACCATCTTGAAAATGAACTTTAATTTCTCCGTTTTTTAAACTTTCCGAAAGTATCATCTCTGTAAAATCAAAAATTTTTTATCTCACTCTATTTTTATATATTCAATCTATGAATTTATTTTGATTTTATTCAACGCTATTTTTTTGTTGTTACATTACTATTGTTCCTTTTGCTATTACATTGACAGCATTTTTCCGATAGATATGCTATTTCAGATAAATGTTCTCCATTAAAAAAAAAAATTTTATTTACATTTTATTTGCATGTTCTAAATTTTTTTTTCATTCAATCCTTTCCAGTTAGTTTCTTCTGCTTTTGTAAGGCTCATGTTTTTGATCGTGTGAACGGACTAATCCATACATATAATATCTGCGATGACAATCAAGACACGGATGCGGTCTCACGACGATGCACAGGGCGTATGCGCAATGATCATCTAGTGCTGTTATCTAGTGACGGATTGTGCAACTAATTTAATGAATAATTTTTATGACAAATGACATTTTGACGCTAAATATAAATCAAATGTATCATTCACATAAATCAAAATATTATTTTTTATCTCTTTTAAAAATGTAACGCATTTGTCACGGTCTAATAAAATTCTTGAATATTCCGGACTACATTTTGACCAATAGTGTCACTTCCGGTATAACATTAAAGCCCTAACCCGACGCCATTTTACGGGACGCGTCCTAAAGTGTTATCAACCTAAGTCGATTCATTTTTTATTATCGTTTATCTCTTTTACTACATAAAAGTGGTGTTGTTTTCTACAAAAACCGGATAAATTGTCTATCAACTTACCATGAAAGCTGAAGAGTAAGTAAAAGAATTGTATACTCTAGTAAATATTTAATTTACATCAAAGTCGGCATTCTAAGTATTTTTATTTGCCTCTTAAAAGTTTATTTTTAAAGTATATGTTTCTGTAAATAAATAAATAAATAAAATCAATAAATAAATAAATACATCTAAAAATACATGATATTTTTTATTAAGTATAATAAGATTAATAAGCCATTTGTTTTATCTAGATCACCAATGCAAAATGATGACCGTGAACGAAGCCGTGAAAGAGACCGAAATCGTCGTTCAGATCGCCAACGTATGAATTCAGCGAGCCGAGATCGTAGTAGAGAACGGACTGATCGAGGACGAAGGATATCTGAACGTCGTATTTATGTATCTAATATTCCTTATGACTTCAGATGGCAAGACTTGAAGGACTTGTTCAGGACAGAAGTAGGAAAGGTAGCTCATGTTGAGTTATTTACTGACGAAAACGACAAACCTCGGGGTTGTGGTATCGTTGAATTCGAAGACTCAGAATCTGTTAAGATTGCTGTAGAAAAAATGCATCGATTTGATATTAAAGGACGAAAACTCGTTGTTAAAGAGGTAAAATATTTATTAACATTTCTAACACATCAGCAGCATATGTAGGTATTTAATGGTTCAGCTATAAATTTTAAGGCTTCAGACAAAGTTTTAAAGATCAATTTTTTGATGTATTCATTTCTTTTTTTATTCATAACAACGGCTGTTTATCAATAAGTTAGTATGCTAGTGAAGTGTTGGCAAAAAAATTATTGTCATGTATTTGAATGACAAAAAAAGTAATGTTTTGAGATATCAAAGTGTTAAAACCTTTTTTTTGCACATTGTCTAGGACTATGATGTTGAGCGTGACAAGTATGGACGATTACAAACCTCTCGAGACCACGACAGATCCCGAGAAGACCGATTTCGTGATGTTCCTCGAGGTAATTCCGGGCGACAAAGCATGTCAGTATCATCAGTGGGTGGTGGTGGCGGTAATGCTGGTAATGACAACAAATTTGGAAATACTTACGGTCTAAGTACTCCATTTCTTGAGTCACTTGGAATCAATGGCCCGCTGGTCACTAGAGTGTTTGTCGCAAACTTGGACTACAAAGTTGATGAGAAGAAACTCCTCGAAGTCTTCAAGTTAGCTGGAAAAGTCATAAATGTTGAATTGGGTAAAGATAAGGATGGTAAATCACGTGGATTTGGTGTTGTTGAATATGATCATCCAGTTGAATCAGTTCAAGCTATTTCCATGCTTCACAATCAGCAGTTGTACGACAGGAGAATGACTGTAAGAATGGATCGTGCTAATGATCCTGATCTTCCTCCAAAACTTCCTGAAGGATTGAAGAGCATTGGAATGGGCCTTGGTGCTGGTGGTAATCGTTTATTAGATGTTGCTAGAAATCTCCCTAATCTTCATCCTAATAACTCACCGGTTGTAAACTCCATTCCAACACCAGTCATTGCTACTGGTGCTTTTGGAGCTGGATTAAACAATGTTGTACCTGCGCAACTTGGTAAATAATCATTTCATTTTTAAGAAGTTGACATCTTAAAACATAACGAAGAGAGCTTAATGAAACTTTCAAAAGATATTGGTAATATTAAGTAATTTAAATCAATGTGGCCTTTTTTTTAATTAATATAAAATAATTTTTTGAAGATAATGGCGATTAAAATTGATATGCAATTATAGTTGAAGCTTTTATTGGACTATGAAATGTTAGAAAATCATAGATTACATTAGAAGATGGAATCAACTTTCATGAAAAGTAATACGATGACTGAAAAGATAATTTAGAAAAATCAATTTTAATTTTTAATATTTATAGATGAACATAAAAAACATCATACTAAGTTAAATAATCCAATATTATCAACATATTTAATTATTTATAAATATTCATGCATTGATATAATTGATTAATATTAAATCAATATAGTTCTTCATTTAAAAATCTTTAAAAAATTTAATGATCTTTTTTCATTATGCTGCAGGATGTCAAATTCAATAATTTTATCTATACTTATTATGTTGATTATAATTATTATTTATTTTAGCAACAGCCTTAAGTAACACTAATGCAGCAGCTCTCCAAGCGAGTTTAGCTGGAGGATTGGGAGCGAATCTGACCACGAACTCACTCTTAAATCCATCGTTGACATCAGAGTTAGCTTCAAATTTAAACAATTTCAGTGGTAGCGTTGGTGGATTGTCTAGTCTTCAAGCTTCGTTAGCTAGTGGACAAGCTAATAATTCTTTTACACCTCGTGGATTAGGGAAATTAGACGCTGACGTACCTTTTGGAAGCAACAGTGCTTTTGGTAACTCTAATTATGGTGGCAGTCGGGATTTTGATGCCTTTAGTCGAGGTGATGCTGACCGTATCACTGGTGCTGGTGGAATCTTCGCGGGAAGTCAAAGTCAACAGGGTGGTGGAAGTAGACAGAATACTAATGGCACTCGTCAAGGATCTGATACCATTCTTATTACAAACGTAATTCATCTTTTTTGTTTTCATTATTTAAATTTATTATGATCGAATAGTCTATTCATTCCAATTGTGAAATCGGGATTTTTCAGCATGCTTGAAAACTTCAGGTAATATTGTTGAAAGTTGATTTTTAAGATTTTTTTTTCTTTATCATAATATTTTAACAAAACTATCAAAAATAAAAGGGAAAGTCTAGGGATCTTTTTTGTATAAAATCGGAAGAGCTACAATTTTTGTTCAAAGCTTCTTCGCGACTCTTCAATAGCTTATTAGATAATCATGAAAAAGTAAATTTTAAGGTAGTTTTTCGATCATTTCACCCTTTGTCTGGGGCTGTAACACTATTTTTACGATAATTTAGTATTTTTAATCACTTAAAGAATATTTTCTAAAGCTTTTCATTCATGTTGAAAATTTTTGATTCCATCACTCAGAAAACAATACCTTATTGATAATTATTTATTTGTTGCTCACTGATATTTAATGTTTTTATTGAAACAGTTGCCCCAAAACACCACGTGGCAGATGTTGAGAGATAAATTCCAAGATGTTGGTGAAGTGAAGTTTGTTGAGATGAGAGGCAATGATGTTGGAATGGTTCGATTTGCTTCTGAATGGGATGCTGAGAGAGCAGTCTGTATCCTTTAACATAAAAATTAAATTGAAAAATTAGTCCCTATTCAATGTCACTTCAAACTATGAGCTCTCTAGTAACTCAAAATCTATATAAAAATTTTTTTATTCATTAAAGTTGGAGCTAACGCTACAGTCTTATTAAAATTCTCCATTACTTTAACAACTGAAATGCTCAACTATTTTATTTATTTTTTAACTTCCTAGTGGAAAGTTACTGTAATGAGCCCGATTTTACGAATCCCAAATTTGGAAATATCTTCACATCATAAAATCCCTAGAGTCGAATATGACGAAATTGCTTTTGTCATTTTTCGTGCAGAATCAAAAAACTAAAAAAAATGCCAACTATAGTATAGGGAAAACCTATGTTAAAATTAAATTTGAAGATAAATGACAATATTTGATATTTAATATTTATTTATGCCATTGGGTTTAGTGCTTAATCTAACTTTTAACTGGACTTTATACATTTATTATTTCTAAACTAAACGGTGAAATTTATTGATAAAGCAAACTTGATTTCTTTGAATTATTACCTATCACTTTTGAAATTATTATAGATTAATCTTTAAATTCGCTTAATGATCGAACAACCTTAAATTGATTTATTTTAACAAAACTTTACTAAAAATTGTCTCCAACTTCTTTAATCAATTAATCACTTCTTTATATATTTAATGAAAAATGTTTTGTCCATTCAGCAAAGTCAAAAACAAGGAAGTATTTTCCTTAACAAAATAAACAGCATTGATGAACCGAGCTCGTATTGACGGCAGAGCAATAGAAGTGCGTTTATATTAAAATTTTCACCAATCGAAGAAAAAAAAAGGGAAAGAAAGGTAAAACAATTGGCAAATAATTAACAATTAATTATTAATAATTACATGATGTTTTTATCAGCGAAAATTAATCAACTAATCGATGTCTCGAAGGTTTCAATGCATTAATCAGGGTCTCGATTTCTTGTGATTTCAAGATATCTGACGATTCTGTTGGGTGATGATGATTCTTGAAGCCGTTGGTTTTGTCTCTTCGACACTTCAACTTCATTCATTCTTCCCCCTCAATTTTTGTCTACATTTTATTCTCTACATGGCAAGCAGCAAATTTTTGAGATTTACAAGATAATCCTTCGACCAATTGATTGAGTTTACAGTATATTATTCGTAAATCGTTTAATCGTTTTTTCTTTAGTCTACATTTCAATTCATTATGTCTTTAGGTTTGTAAGTCGTAAGCTTTTCAACTTAACTTGTATATTGAATCCATAGAATTTAGTAGATTTTAAGATTTAAGAGCATTGTCATGGAGCTGTTTTTTTTATTTGATTAAAAAATAATAATGGAACAACTGGGGCTCGATTTTTTGATATTTAAGTTATTATTATTAATTATTTTTTTTTATTTTTAAATGTTTAATTAACGTCGAATAATTAATCACGCTCTGCTCATACGTAGCTCATCTGTAATATTTTTTACTCGTCTAATTTTGTTCATTCATCATTCGTCAATTATTTTTCAATATATTCTTGTGACTTTAATTGATAAGTCTATTTTCGCTTTGAGAAGATCATCATTTTGTTTAAATATCATTCGATGATTCTTCAGAAGAATAAATTATGTTTCTCGATAAATGTTGATAACTCTTAGTGCAATTTAAGAGCAAAGTATTTTTTTATAATGACATACATTTGAATTAATTTTTTTTGTTTAACACTTCAAGTGACACACTGTCCTAATAATAGTTGGCCATATTTGTCAGTAAAAAAATTAATTTTGTGTTATAAAATAGTTTTATGTAAATAATTGGTAATTTTTCTAGGAAAATTATCTCTTAATAAGCAAAACTTGATCAAATTAAAAGTATAATTTATTTTCTTTAACTTTTATCATTAGAAAGATCAGTAAATTTCAATTTTGAAACACTACAACATGAGTAAAACAAAATTTACAGTTTGTGAGATATGATTGTTCATTTAGAAGAAGAAATAATTTTCTTTAATTTTTCAAAATAATTTTTGATTTCTATAATTAATATAGATAATAATTTCTCATATGTGGTCTAAAAACTAGAAAGTACAAACTTTGAAATGATGTACATAAAATTATTCCACAATTATTAGAAAGCTTTACAGTTTGTAATTAATATATTTTTGATCCATTATTTTGGGACAGTGTGACGTGTTTTTGACCCAGGTAAATTTACACAAATATTCATGTGTGTTTGATGAAGTGTAAAGTTGAGTAAATAATATTGCCGGTAATATAACTTTTTTTTTCATCAACGAAACAGCTCTCGACATTTTTTTACATTAACAATTTATTCTTTGTGAATTGTGTAAGAATTATTACTAAACAAAAAAAAGATACACCTCTTGTATAATGATGGTAAAACAATTTCGTAGTAAATAAATTATTCATTTCGATTTCACAATTAATTCACGAAAAAAAAAATCAATAAAATGAATTATTGCTGTGTTTTATTTTGTCAACAGACCATAAAAAAGATTATCAGAAAAAATGTTTGAAATGACTTAGTTAAAAGAAGTTTTTTTTTTCTTAATTTTTAGAAAGATGTAATGTCATGTAAATTGATTATGTTATTGAGTAGATTGATTGTTGAGAAGGCTTTTTTCATCGTAAGGTGAGAGATTTAAATCCTTCCTTGATGTGAATTTGAATCTTTCTCGTGGAATTTATTGTCTCGAAGCCTGGAATACCTTTTTTCATATATTATAATGTTTTTTTCATTAACCATTGATAAATACTTCTAAAAACATTAGTAATCAATTGATTTCTAAAAAATTGATTTTTTTATTACTATCTTTATTATTTATACTTTTTAATTATTTACTTTTTTTAATCTTATCTTTAATACAAAACGAGTTAATTATTCTAAAAACCATATTTTCTTATATACTTCGGTTAGTTAATCCTTGAAATAACTAATTAACATTTCCTTCATTGTTGATAATCAATAAAACATTAAAGAAATTACTATAAATATATATGTATATATTTCTTCAATTTAATGATAAAGAAAATGGGCTAATTGATGAACAAAGTTTAAAAATTCACATTTAATATTTTAGCATAGAGAAGTACTTACGTAAGTTATTTTGCTGGGATTAAATAACAAAATAATGAATCATTCTCTAAACGCCGCAACTTGTCTTTTGCAGTAAAAGTTATCGAATTTCGCGATAACTTTTACTACAAAATAATTCAAACGAGGATCAGATCCAATAGAGTTTAATTAAATTTTGAATTAAGGGGCCTCGAACGAAAAAATATAGATATATAAAAGTATATGGACCTTTGCGTACTAGTTTTAGGCAAATAAATAGATAAAATAAGAAAATACCTATAGGAAAAGATTCGCGCAACAACAATTTATGGAATGAAACGAGATGAGGACGATTAGCTGAAGAATAAGTAAAATATCCGAAATTAAAAATCTAAAGCGATTTGACAGATTTTGGTCGGCCATATGTAAACAAGTGAGAGTTAGAAATATGAAAAACAATGTCAAATCGCTTTAGATTTTTAATTTCGGATATTTTACTTATTCTTCAGCTAATCGTCCTCATCTCGTTTCATTCCATAAATTGTTGTTGCGCGAATCTTTTCCTATAGGTATTTTTTTATTTTATCTATTTATTTGCCTAAAACTAGTACGCAAAGGTCCATATACTTTTATATATCTATATTTTTTCGTTCGAGGCCCCTTAAAAGATCAAAATATGATGTCTAGCTAGATTCAGTCTCAATCATGAACTTCCAAATAAATTAATCAAACGTTCAAATATAAACTAATACAGTTGACAGTTGAGTGTACAGATTCAAATGTTCAACATATATATGTTTTACAGTCGATTGACTTGCTATTAATAACTTCATTTAGGTTTGATTAGTTTGTTTATGTTTCGTTTGTGACTGAGATTAGAGTTAATCAACTGTATTTATATTATTCAATATTGGTGTCAAAAATAGGATAGAGTAAGATGTAGAATATTGGAATAGTTGATTAATATTTTGAACAATTGACAATGATTTGATAAATCAATAAATCATTAAAATTTATTTAATAATCAATCACATTCTTCTTTATTTAAATAAACTTGATATTTTACTTATATCGTTTTCTCAATTGTGGTGTCAGTTAAAATTGTTCCATCATAGTGTCAATTATTTTATAATGTCCTATTGGATCTGATTTGATTTAATTCAATATCTTGTTAGAGATTTATTTTAATTTCATTGCATCTACTAAGATGCGATTATTTTTAAAATTAGAATCAATCTAGATATCTTATTTAAATCGATTTCATCACAGAACAAGAATTGTTTACAAGGTAAAAATAAAATAATCAAATTTTTTGATTATTATTTAATATTAATGTTAATTTGCGCAAAAAAATCAATTTTTTTGAATCAATTGATACACAACAATTTTAATAAACAATATTAATTGATAATTTTTTAAGAAAAAAAAGATATAATACATAAATGTAATAATAAATAATAAAATTTCCTGAGACAACTACTCTTCGTATCATCATTAATGGTAAGTTGGTTTTCTTCACTTATAAATCAACTGTTCATTCTTAATGAGTTTGTTAAGTTTTGTCAAAATAGTCTATTAAATTTAGGAATGGTGAAAAAAAAATAAATTTTGCGACATAATTTGATACCTAAAATCTGGAGAGTTTCATTTCTTATCTCGCATAACACATGATACATTCAATAGTCTGTTTATTTTTTAAATGCAGTGGCAAACATTTACCGTATTGTCTTTAACAATAATTTGACAATCGCAGTTGGTTTCAATATTTAGTGCCGTTTTTTCCATTGTTTATTTCTGGGTTTATTGGTGATGGCAAAATTGGATCAGTAATTTTCTAACTATGGGAAGTTGTTTTGTTGTTAGAGTTTTTATTCAGGATGTAAATTCTGAGATTGTTTCAAGTTGAAAATTTCATGAATTCATCAACAAAATGATAAACTTGGTATTGAAAGGGTATTAATTTATTTTTATGGTGTAAATTAAATAATATTTGTTGTTGAACCTTGATACCAACATTGGTAATCAATATTTCTAGTAGCATTAGCTGTGATGATGATTTTAGTAAAATTCAACTAAAATCTTGCGAAAGTTTATCGCTTAATTGAGAATATTCAGAGTAGATTTAAGCACATTAAGTATCAAACAAAAAACAATACGGCTTTTATCCTAATAGTTCGGTTCATTTGCAAGACCAAGTTATTCTAATGAATTACGAAATCTTTCGATTATTTTATGCAAAAACTGCAGATATCATCAACAGCACCAGTGGCATCTGCTTCCGTTTTTATGTACGGATCGTGCGACAGAATATCACAGCAGAATCTAACTTAAAACCTTATTGTAGATTTGATAAAGAAGTCAATAGTAAAATTAGCAGATCTTCAACAGAAATATGAAAGGCATCATGACTTCGGCCAGTAGTTTTTGTTGGAATATATGGAAGGAGTCGATACTTTCCATATTTTTACTGGTTTTTTTGATGAAAGTTTTTGCATTAAATCTACTGCAAGATTGAAAAATAAATTTTGTAATAACATTCTGTCGTGAGATCCATATGTAAATGCAAGAGTAGATACTTATAGTAACTTATAGTACTACTGTAGAGTTGAAAATTTTATACATGATCACCATAGAAGATTTTTGCCAGATGTGTGAAAGCCAGCTATCAACGTAGAAATGGTATGGGCAAAGTGATTACAGTAGACGATGCTCAGGATACTAGTAGAGTATACAGAACGATAGAAATCAGTGAATAGTTAGGTAAAAGTGATTACATAAAATTGGTTCTGATAATAATACTTCCATTCATTTAATACTTGAATCAGATCTTTTTCGACTTGATGAATTTAGATATTTTGTGATCTATTTATATCTAGTTTAACATTGAGAAGTATAACATCAGACTAGATTAGATCGACCAAATCATATGAAATAAGATATTAGATCTGCTTGAATCAAATAGAAAACACTTAGATTAATCAACAATGTTATAGAAAGGCTTGATAAAATTTCTAAATATTTTCATCAACACTATTGCTAAAGATTTAAGTTATAAGTATTTAAGAACAAAATTTTTTTTATGAACAAAAACTTCAAAATGAATATTATTGATGGTAACTGAGTAACTAATCATTAAAAAAAATCATGTCTTGTAAATGAAGTTTATTTAATTACTTCGTCCATACCAACTAATATATAATTTTACATTTATTCCATATAAATAATAACAAAGGTAAGTCAACGTCTCTAGTAACCACCCCTGACGTCAGAGTTTTCGTCAGACTTACGTATGTTTGTTTTCTTTTTGAGTTGAATTGTCATTCGTTTGTGATGTTAAATTTTCTGACAACAATTTTAGGTTTGTCTGATTCAGATAAACGGCAGATACATACGTAAATGACAAACTTAGGCCAATATACGTGGGTCTGTCGTCAGTCTTACGTTGATTTGGCTACTAGAAAATTAGATGATAATTTTAATGTCATTGTTTTTTAAGAGAACAATGAATTAATATTTCTATTAATTTAGCTTTAAGTTATCGACATAAATAAATTATTCTTTCAGGACATATCAACATATACAACTATCACTAATTCAATTACAAATGTACATTTTATAAATAAGCAATAAATATATTTATCTAGAAAAAATAAAAAATTTTTGATAGAGTTTTTTTTTATTTCTCTAGAACAATCCCTTGTTAATTTTCCATTAGGAAGTTATTGTAATGAGGTTGATTTGTGAAATTCGTAATCTTGCCACATTGTTACGTTTTAAGACATTTGAAAACACATTTATTAAATGTAAAGGTATATGTAGATTGTCGTTAATTATGTATTATAAATAAAAGTTTCCACATGACTACTGTCAACATCGCATTCAGCATGTCGGACCATTCATTGTTCCATTTTTTCCAAGTTTTTATCTAATTTTTGACAAATAAACCTAGTAACATATTTTTTGCATAAACAAATAAAAAAACGTTCAAATTTTATAGAAGTATATTCTTTTCCATAAAAATGAATGAAACATAGCAAATTTTGTAATTTGCTTCCAATTTCATATACTTCCGGTACAAATAACATGTAGTTTGAAAAGATCATAAAGTTCAATTATTCCATAAAATATATCACAAACGATATATTTTTTTGATGAAAATTAATAAAGTGTTATTGGATTTATTGTATATTTCAAATTCAAGCTTTAAAAATGAAATGTATAAAAGTGTTATAAATCCTTATACGGTGCTGTTTACTGATAGATTCGAACACTGCTAATAAAATTTACAATATTGTCATTAATGACTTTATATAACTCATTACAGGCACATGCTGTTTATAACAATTTGAGTTTTATTAAACTATTCAGGAAAAAATGATAATATGATAAAATTACAAATCTCAATAAATATATAAAACCTAAATAGATAAAATTTTCATACAATTGGATTTTATATTCGTTTTGTGAGCATAAAGTTAGTCCAGACTTTTTTTTTATATTTATAATCATCACTATAAAAAGTATTATTATAATAATATCTAAAAACTACGATAGTTTTTGGTTTATTGTACAAGAAATTTCGATCGTAATTAGACTGAAAATTGAACTCGAATATTTACTCACATCTCTTGATGCATCTTCAGTTATTGTTTTTATTAAAAAAATATTTTTAACAATAAAACATTCGATGAAAATAAGAATTTTTTTTATTAAATACTAGCTTTGGATGGTTAAACTTCTATGTTACTATTTAAAAAAATAAAAAAAAAATCCTCCCCGGCGGGGAATCGAACCCCGGTCTCCCGCGTGACAGGCGGGGATACTTACCACTATACTACCGAGGACTTGTGTTAAAGATGATTTTATATTAAACAAATGTTGTCATCTGTGAAATAAATTTCAGACTATCAACCAAGCCACAATTCTTTTTAAACGTTATGTATTCATTAATTTTCCATTTAGAAGTTACTGTAATGCATCCGATTCTAAAAATTAACAATTTAGACATATCTTTACGTTTTGAGGTCTTCAGAGTCTAATATGAATCCATTGGGTGCAAAAAGATACCTGTGTGCGTATATACAACATATACATATATTAGTCGAATCAATAGAAGGTTTAAATCACTATTTTGGACGGGGAGAATGAAACCAACGCGAAAATGTGCGTAAGGGTCGTAGGAATGTTAATGCAAAAGATCAGGGCCCTGAATAAAAGTATGATTTCCTTTTTATCGACTTCATTTGTGTTTAGGGAGCGTGACATCCGTCCCCAATAAGATGTCAGTCAAAGGCATTTTTACAATCTTTTAAATTTAAATTTTTAAATGTATAATCTTACTGATTGTCAATCAAATTCTATGATACCCAGATTTTTCATCTAATGATCATTTTAAAAATAAGCTTTATTCTTTTAATCTTTTAAAATTGGTTTTTTTTATTTTCAATCATTTAATATTCAATCAAATTATAAAAATTCTTCTTTTTTTAATGTTTATCATTTCGTTGAACAGTCAACTTAAGAAATTAGGACTGGTAAGTTATCTTGCGTCGGTATAGTAGAAAAAAAAATTCAACTAGTGTCACTGTTTTCTGATAGATGACAGTAATTGCACTGTTTTCAATCAAAAATTCAAAATGCTTATAGAAAGAAAAGTCTTCTTTCTGGCTCATGTAATGTCATGCAATTCCTACTACATAAATAAGGATGTTTAGACTTATAATCTAATGATAATAACATTTTTATCTTAATGTTAACGTAATTCAAGTGAAAAAAATTTGAAAACTGAATTATTAAAAAGTTGAAAAACTTCAAAAATAATGTCTGTCAGTATTATTCTCTTCTTTAATAAACATAAACAATTTTTGTGCAACGAAAAAAAAAAGTTTTATTACTTAAGTTTTTATAAAAATAAATCAGTTTGTAATGAATAGCTCAATTTACCTGAATTTGAATATAAATATAATATGAATATAAATTTATTAATAAATTTTAATATAAATCACTAGTCAGCTTTGAGTAAATAAATTGTGGCCATCAATGTTGGTAGTAAATGAGTACACCCTTCCTGTTGAATGATATTATTTTTTATGAAAAATTGTATATATGAGTTATATCTTATTCTATCTTACCATTGAAATACGTTATCAACGATAATAAATACTGAATTTTTTTACTACAGTGAGACAGAAATGAATATATTACTTGTAGACATAATCCGTGATGAAGTTTGAACTCTATTGAGTTTGATACAATCATTGGATATCCAAAAATAAAATTATAAATGAATTACCACTCTTCCTACGTTAATGATAAGAATAATGATGAATACTTCATCAATATCATTTTTTAACAAGCTTTCTTGTACAATTTATAAATTACTTCTAAATTTAATGTATCCAAACCAATGTTATCTATGCTTCATAATGCAGGATATTTTCCATTTATACATTCTTTGTTAAATTTATCTAATATAGATGATATTTTTGTTCGATTATATAAAAAAATGCTCCTTCTTTATTACTGATAACTTTTTTATCAGTTCAGGATTTTCTGCTATAATAACTGGATGACTTGGTTTCTTTCTTGTAACTTCACGTATAATCTTCATTGAAGTTACATGGCTATTTTAAATTATCATTCATTATTATCATTAGATTATAAGTCTAAACATCCTTATTTATGTAGTAGGAATTGCATGACATTACATGAGCCAGAAAGAAGACTTTTCTTTCTATAAGCATTTTGAATTTTTGATTGAAAACAGTGCAATTACTGTCATCTATCAGAAAACAGTGACACTAGTTGAATTTTTTTTTCTACTATACCGACGCAAGATAACTTACCAGTCCTAATTTCTTAAGTTGACTGTTCAACGAAATGATAAACATTAAAAAAAGAAGAATTTTTATAATTTGATTGAATATTAAATGATTGAAAATAAAAAAAACCAATTTTAAAAGATTAAAAGAATAAAGCTTATTTTTAAAATGATCATTAGATGAAAAATCTGGGTATCATAGAATTTGATTGACAATCAGTAAGATTATACATTTAAAAATTTAAATTTAAAAGATTGTAAAAATGCCTTTGACTGACATCTTATTGGGGACGGATGTCACGCTCCCCCGACATGTTGACCGAAACTTCGTCCGGATTTTTAACACAGCATTGGACTTCTATACTGGTCTCTCTTCTCTGGCTCAGCCTAAGAATTTAGTCATGGAATTTAAAAAAAAATGTAGATATGAAACTTTTTTTAAAAAAAAAAAAAACCCTCAGTCGATAATTATTTGGAGGACATAGGCAGAGAAAAGTCTTCTCTTTGTCGTAGACTAAAAGATGGCAGTGATTCATAATTCACGCACAAGAAATAGGCCCGTCTCTTGTTTTCTATAAAACGAAATAAATATAAAACTCTTATAAAATTATTTTGTTTATTCGATAATCATTCAATAATTGTTGGAATACTAGTGTTCAACAGAATTAGTTTAAAAGAACCATTTTTCAATTCAACAATCTAGTACAAATAGTGCAATGATTGAATAGAAAAAACAATAACAGCAATGTTAACCTAAAATAAAATGTCAAAACAGTTAACGAATGGTGTTATTGAAAAAATGAAACTAGTGATAAGAATATTAAAATAATTTCAATTAATCTTAAAAAATGGCTCATTTGTATATGAACTATTGTGGTAATTATAACAAAAATGAAGAAGTAGATGAGAACACAATTTACAAGAAAAAATATAAAAAATTGAAGAAATTAGTTAAAGATACTGTGTTTGTAAGTTGGTTAAGTAATAAGAAACAAAAATATTTACAATAAATAATAATTAATTTTAACTTTGTATATCAGGAAAATGCAGCTTTGTGTGATCAAGTAGCTCAAACACAAGAAACTTTAGTAATAGCAAAAGAAGAGAGATTATTTTTATTAAGGAAATTACTCCAACTTCAAGGAGAACCACAAGACTCTTCATCATTATCAAATAGAATTCAAATAAATCATGTAAATAACTTTCACATTAATTCTGATGTGTCTACACCTAAAAGAAGTACAAAAAAGCGCAATTCACTAGATACTTTAAATCTAAGTGGAGAAATCAGTAAGACTTCTTTCAATTGTTATCAATAACTACATCAGCTTTTCTTTTTTCTAAATCTAACAACACTTTAATTTTTTCAGACCCTAAAACCAAGGCAAAAAGATCTAATAAAGCAACTAGAAGAGTAGTACAATTAATTCCGCTAGACATACACGGTAGACCATTGTTCCCAATTTCTCTTGGTGATCTCACTGTTTATTCACTTGGAGAAGTAGTATCGGATCGTATTCATTATCATGCTGAAGATGTTATCTATCCAGTGGGCTTTTGCAGCACAAGATTATATGCTAGTCTTAAAGATGTTCATTCACAAAGTCTTTATACCTGTAAAATACTGGATGGAGGATCAAAACCGAGGTAAAATAATATGTAATGAAACAATAGTGGATTTTAATTATGATATTCAATTAATACTCAAATAGTATGAAGTTGTTTACTAGATATCCTAAGCACAACAGTTTCGTTTTTAACTGTCTGAAAAGTCATTAAAAAATACCTTGGATAATTTATTCATTTATTTTAAAATGAAAATAAATTATTTTTCAGGTTTGAAATTGTCTCAGACACTGACTTAGATCAACCACTAGTCGGTTCCAATCCAGACGAATGTCATTCACGATTATTAACTGCAATTTCGCCAATTCTTGGAAACATTATGCCAAAGGGCGCTTGCTTTTTTGGTCTTTCGCATCCGACAATACAAAATCTGATCCAAAGTTCACCAGGAACACGAAAACTTGTTTTGTATAAACCTCAGAAATTCGAAGTGAGTAATAGATTACTGTTCTAACATAACCAACTCATGAACAAAGCTTTCCACTGAGGAAGAATATTGATATTTATCTAAATACATGTGCTTTTAAAAAAACTTTAGTTACGACGCAAACTTACTCAGCTCAAGAGCAAAGTTAGTTTGTGTATTGATTTATATAGTCTCTAGCTTAAATAAAAACATTGTTTGGGCAGCTTTGGGTCTCCTTGTGTTTTTCTCACTGGGAAGCTTTCAAAGTAGTCTAATCAAATTAAGATTGAAAACGAAATTGTTTCGATTCTCAAAATAATTTGTAATCACTATAATTCTACATAAAAGAGATTATTACTCTTTGATTTCTAGTTCTACTAGTTAAGCTCTAAAATGACATTGTATGTTGTAAAGTTAATCTTAATTAATTTTATTCTCTAGAATATTTTTTTTTTGTAAAATGTCAGAGAAAAAGTTTTGTAACAAGATCTCTTAAATTTTTCTTACTTTTTTATTTTAAAGGCTTTAAAGAAGTGTTTGAGAACTTTTATTCTTCAAATGTTATCAGTCAAAATATTGCAAATAGTAAAATAAATTGTTTTATTATGCAATCTTCATTATCGTTTTGCAGCTTATCTATGAGAGATAAAAGATAAAGTCTAAAGATCTTAACCTTCTTTGTGTCAAATTGTCGCCTTTAAAAGTTTTACTTGAAACTTTTCCTTATCTTTCAAAGTTTTTGAGGAAATCATAAAAAAAAAAGTTAAGGCAGTTTTACTGATATATTACTCTTTACCCAGAGTGAAAGCACTTTTATTAATATTTTTATGTATTTTTAAGAATCTCAAAAATATTTTCTGTACATTTTAACTAGACTGCAAAATGTTAATTTCAAAGCAATCAAGACAGGTTTAAAAATAATGAATTTTTATAAAATAAATTTTACACATTTTTGTTTTAATAAGACAACCACATTGCTATTTATTAAATATTTTAATTAAAGTTAATTCATTGTCTCTCTTAAAGGTCAGTAAAAATTCGATAAATGAAAATGGATTCAACTCCATACCAGAAGAGGAAAATGATCCAAGCATTAATTTTACAGCTTTACATCGTGCATTTGTGTTAAATTCAGGATATGGAATCAAAGAAGAACCTATGGAACATGAGCTCTGTGCTGTTCAAGATCTAGCATAATATTTAAATTAATATAAATTAAATACCTTATTGTATATATTTTTATAAACGAATATTTTGTTTCATGATACCACTATTTTTATTTATTTAATGTGGAATATTATGAAAGGTAAAAATGTTGATGTGAGTGTGTTTGTGAAGATTCTAAGAAAATTACATTGAGATATTTTGAAAAATAGATCAATTAAAATATCAGTTTCGTTAAATTTTAATAAAATAAAAAAATTTATTACACAACGATAATTGTAAAATTTTAAATGAGACTTTCGCGTATAAAATAAAACAATCATTTATAAAAAAAGTAATTATTTCAATTAAATTTTTTTGTAAATTAATTTATGTAGTGTAAATATGTAAAAATCATGATATTTTGACTCGGTTGAGCATTCTTGTGTTAAACGCCAAAAATTAGGAATTAAGTTCAAGAAGTTTATGCTTCCAAAAAAAATTTTATAACATTTTTAGATATTTATACTAGTAATTAAAATCAGTATAATTCTGTTTCACATTTTTTTTAGAAATTCTTTTTCAAGGTACAGTGAAATCACCACAATGTAAATAGCTTAGGACTCTGAATTGAGAAAATGACCATTTTACAGAACACCCCATTTTCATTGTCGAAGACAGCCGAATAATTGATTGTTACTTCAACTATTTATTTTATGGAAAACCAAATTATGGAGACTTCTGTATTGGCAATTAAAATTGATTTATGTACATAAACTTGGATCTATATCATAAGTGTATGTCTCTAGTTTCCTCAAAGATAATGTTTAAAAAAATATTATTATTCAACATCAATTGTTTATTTTACTGCATATTATTTTAAAAAATGAATTATAAAGTTGACTTTGTGGCATTCGACACATAAATGCTTAACAGATTTCATTAAATTATCAAGTATTTTGTATATTTATATTTACATTTTACATTATTTCTAAATCAGAAGACCCCTATTTTTACACATATTTCCTTAATAATTATTTACACATCCATTCTCTCTTAAAAGTACTTTTTGAATAAAAAAGCTTCCTCATGTGGATAAAATTCATCATTTCATAATCCAATTTAATTATTATTTACTTAAGACAAACGACTAGGATGTCATCGTCTCTGAGCTGGTCCAATAGTTTTGTTGAAAAGGGTATTGGCTATGGCAATTACTGGCGAAAAAAGCTTTAATGGGCAGTCACTGAAATTAAAATAAAATTATTTTTATAATTACTAAAAATAATTATTAAGTATTTTTTGATATAATCAAAAAACATACCAGACACCAGTAACAGGCTGAGCTTCGTTTCCACTCACGATAAACAACGGAAACAGAATAGAAAAAACACAGCCACTGTAAGAAAGGTCAAATGTTAATTATTGTAAACAATTCATTAATTAATCTTTACACTTAATTTTTAATAAGTCTTATTCTCTCTAATATCATCGTTTAAAATTAAATATCTATAAATAGTTCCATTTACCTGATAACATAAGAATTCGGTAATTGAGTAAGCACAGCTAGTGGCAATCCAAAGCCCACGAAATACGGCCAATTGCCTTCAATAAAAGTAAGTCGTCGATGAAGCTCCCAGCCCATGTTACACCATTTGTATTCAAAAGCATAGAGAGCATAAAGAAGGCACATGTGGACAAGCGCAAGAAGTTCTCCAATTGGAGGTAGCGGCACTCGTGAAACAAGCATTCCTTGGCCAAGGAAAAGCGCTTGGACTAAGATACTGAATAATGTATCAGCCACTAGTTTGCTTACACTTGAAAGCAATAATGGTCTGCCTTGTCTGTGACGATACGCACTGTTGGCAATATCCTAAGAATAAACAATTGTAATGAGTTTGGGATTTCTAATAAATAAAATTTTTTCAGCATGAATACATTGTTTACACATAAACATGATTAAAATTGATTATCTTTCACATAAGAAATAGGGAATAAAGTCTGAGGACTTTTTTAATGTAAAATTAAAAGATCTTCAACTCTCATCTAAAACTTTTTTCGGTATTTTTCATAGTTAAGTTAAGTAAAAATTGGCGTTTTAAGTGATATTTTCAGTATTCAGAGTACTGTTCATGCTATCACGAAGTACTAAAAAGTTTAGATTACATAAAATCAATAAATAGACTATCCAGAACACTAGTGGCTGATGGATCAACATTTACCTGAAACCATAAGCTGTTGACAATTCTGCTCAGCAGAAAAAGTGGTAAAACCCAAACAGTTCCAAAGGTCCAGGAGAGAAAAGGTTTAGTCCATGACCAAACCGTCATTCCCATTCCTGGTGAATGACCAAAAATGATAGTAAGTAAATATTTTAAAAATGGTAGCAGTCCACATTCAAATATTAATATGCTTGCCCAAAATACACCGCCATTTAATGCACAACATTGAACGGTTCTTTTTAATATTTTAGATTCTCTAGAAAAATTATGTAACTAATAATTATGTTCAGGTAAAAAAATATTTTAATAATACATTAATAAAAAAAAAATACCCGTTATCTTTTGATAATCTAGAACTGTAATTTGTTGCTGAATCTTTTCTATGATGATCAGTTTTAGCTGGAGAAGTTTTAAGTACTTTTTCGTTTATTTGTTTATCCATATAAAAAAGTACTATTGCCCCTTTCAGGCTATCAATAAATCCACAATATACTGCTCTAATTATTCCCTAAAAGAAAAAACAATAAATCGATAAAATAATTTTTCTTATTAAAATTCATGTAAATGAGAAGAATTTTCAATTATTATTTTTGAAATCGCTCCAAAAACTTGCAAAAATATTTGGGAGAATAGCCAATATAAGTTGTTATATTATTAGACAATAATGCAGTTAAATATGCAAGAGATCATGACTTAATAAAACCAGCAATTCTTTCAATACGTACCGTTAGATTTTCCATGATTATCAGCTTTATTTATATTAACAGAAAGTAAGATAAAAATTTCAATCTGATTCCCTATAGTATGATTGATCAGTTTCACATGAAAACATAGTTGTCATATCATACTAAACATTACTGCATGTAAAGTCAAATAAAAAGACATACATATTGTACAATTAATGATAATTTTGATAGCTTGATAATTTTGTACTTATAATTAATCACTCACTTTATTTATAATTTTGTTCAAAAAATATTTTGAGAATTGTTAACTCTTTCACATTATAAAGTAATATGTTTAAAAGTATGCATTTTTATACAAATAAAATTGCAACAATTACAAACGGCAGAATTTTTTTTGCTCTAACACACACCAAGTCCATCGGAACAATAACATTAGACACATCGCCATCTACAATTTTTTTTCAAGAAAATTGTGTCGTAATTTCAAGTAGGGTCATGAAGGAAAAACACTGATATTAGAGATTTATATCGATAGTGAAAATTCTAATTTTGTGAAAATCTGTTGTTTGCTCCGGCTCTCAGAACAGAGATAAGTAGAGAGAAATGGTGGTAAAAAAGATTCTTATATACCAAAAAAATTAGTATAATTAAAAAGCAGGAGATGACGTTATAAATAAAGAATAATTCCTAAACGCGTCGAATGAATTGTGGAATTGAAATCTGTTGAAAACGACCGCAAATCGATCAATGCCAGTAATTATGAGTGTAAAATACATGTTAGCAAATAATATTAATATGATAATAATTTAAATATTCGTCCGTAAGAATCGATGGTAAATTAATGGCAAGCCAGACATGATAATTAGACCAGCTTGTCGTTGTATTCTTCTTTTATCTTTCGATTATTTTTTTCGGATTCCAAATTATACGCAAATATGCATTTTACCGAAACTCAATTAGCAGAATCCGGAGAAAAAACGTTGATAGAAATTGCCATTTTTAATGTGCATTTTTATAGAGTTATGAATTATTTGTTTAAAAAGCGTATGTCATAATTCGTCTGGGTTTCCCAGGACATGTCCTTTTTTTGACTGGGAGAGCTTTCCGGGGTACTTTTTTTGAAATTTCTGGATTTTTTATTTTAATTTTTTTATCAAAAAGTTAAAAAATTATTTAAAAAATGGTTTTATGAATATATTTTCATTGTTTTACGCGTATCTGAAAATATTCTCTCCGTATACGATTAAGTTTGTGAATAACATTAGTGTGATAAGAACAATATCGAATATATGTATGAGCACTAACGAAAATGAAAATTATATTGTATTGATGATCTTACCTTCCATCCTTCTTTAAAAAGTGTCTCCCTCACCTTTACACGGAGAGAAACGAATTGTAAATTTTACTGCAATAAATAGTAGCTTGTCGCTTCGAGTACAAAAATAACAATAAGTAATTATTTAATTAGTACATATTACAATTTTTTCTTGTAAAAATGTTATTACACGACCCGATTGTAATATTTTATGTTTATTTTTGCAAAATTCACCATTTTAAATCATAATAAAAATTTTAATTAAAATAATTGAAAGAAAATTTTCAAATGATCCACACGGCTTGCTGCTAATTCATTATTACTCTTGATTGTTTGACAAACAATTAATTGAATTTTTATATTTGACATAAACATTACTCGCAGGCAAATAACAATTGACATTTTTTTTATTCGAAAAAATTTACAAAATTACCTATTCTATATATAAAAAATGAGTGCGACGAGAGTGGGTATGATAAATATTTGAGCCTTCCTTGAATAATTTTAAAAAGTTTTGAATTCATTAAAGAACATACATCCTACGCTTTCAATTTAAACTATAGCTATAGTTAGTACATTACACTCAGCCCGTCCTATAGCATCCGACTAGCAACTGAGGCAAAAGAATTGACCAATTGTGAACGTGGGTTACATCTTTCTTGACATACGTAATTTTATCTTAATATCTTTCAACTATTTAATCAGCACTCCTCGGGAAATGGCAGCCCAATGGATTCGCAAGACAGTAAGTTTTTTATTTTTACACAAACTATCATACAACAATCATAAAAATCCTCTCAACTGACATCATTCCTTATCTTTCGAAGGTTAGATTTTTCTTCCATCTTTTGAATGAAAACGTGATAAAAATGTTTTAATTTGAATCGATTTAAATATTAATTATTATTATCCTTTAGATTACCCCTAAATTAACGGGAGTCAGATTATACAGTGGTGGTTTAAGAAAGTGTACTTTAATTCCTGGAGATGGAATTGGACCTGAAATTTCAGCAGCCGTTCAAAAAATTTTTGATGCTGCCAAGGTAAATTATTTTTATCTTTTATGCTCTCCTTACCTCGTTCCTATCAAATTATCACTTAAAATTTATTCTCCAAACATAAGAACAAATCATCATTACATTTTATCTCAATCATCAAGCACATTTTATCCCTGAAAATGTTTGATGCTTACATAATTGTCAAGAATTGCTGTTTTTACTAAAAATTATTATAACTTATTTGAAAAAACAATTATAATCTTTCAATGTACTCTTATTGATCCAATTTTAACATTATCTTAATACTCATTTTATCAGTTTTACTGTAAAAAGTCTGCAAACATGATTTCATAATAATTATCAGGGCATTGATGCCATTGATGTGTGTTAATAATTCATTTGTTTGACATAACAGGTACCAATTGAATGGGAATCTGTAGACGTAACACCAGTTAAAGGTCCAGATGGTAAATTTGGAATTCCTCAAGCTGCCATTGACTCAGTGAATAGGAATAAAATAGGCCTAAAAGGACCATTGATGACTCCTATTGGTAAAGGTCATCGATCTCTCAACTTGGCATTGAGAAAGTGAGGGTCTTTATCTCATTATTCTTTCGAAAATGTTAATTTATCACTTACATAATACTTTAGCATACGTTCAATATTAATGAAACAATCTAATTTGCATTTCAGTATATTCTAATGCCAACAAATCTTCTTTTATTAGTAAATGAAAACTAAAGAAGTATCCTTTTCAGTCTAAAATGGTTCATTGATACGAGTAATCATTTTTATTTTTATAAATATGATGACAGCCTGATCATTTTAATTGACTACATTTATTATACTTTATTCAAACTGATGTTTTTGTGTTAATTATTATCATGTTCAGATTAACAATTATCTTGTTAATCTATTTTTATTTCGTATTCGCGTCTAGTTGTTGAAGGAAATTGGACTAACTTTTCTCAATCCTAAAATTAAAGAAAAAAAATAATAGATAGAAGAACCATCTAAATGGGAGCAGTTGGAAGAAAATTTTCATCTGCTATTGTATGACAGGGAAGAATTAATCTAACGTATCTCCACGTGGTGATCCTTCTATATTATTTTTTTTTTTCTCAAATTAATTTAAATAAATCTACATTCAAGTGATATGATCAAATTAACTTCTTATAAATAAATTTACAGTCATTATGTACTTTAACAAATTGAGGTATCAATTAACATTAATGATGACTTGCAATGAAATATAAACGTAGTCAGTCTTTTTTACTTAAATTGGAGTTTTTTAAAACAATTTTTTTATCTTTCTATAAAGTACACCATCTACACAATGATTATTCTCGATGTTATATAATCAATTGAAGTTGGTGTCACGCAAGATAATACAGTTTAGAATTCTATTTTTTCCAGGGAATTCAATCTCTACGCTAATGTCAGACCTTGTAGATCATTAGAAGGATATAAAACGCTTTATGATAACGTAGATGTGGTAACAATTCGTGAAAATACTGAGGGAGAGTACTCGGGTATTGAACATGAAATTGTTGATGGTGTTGTACAGTCGATTAAGTTGATTACTGAAGAAGCTTCCCGCAGAGTCGCTGAATTTGCTTTTCAGTATGCTACTGATAATAATAGGAAAAAGGTATTAAATAAAAAATGTAACATGGCCAGTAAGTTAAGATCACTGTCCCAATTATCATTCAGTAAACTAGGCAGTAATTTTTTTATTTATATAGAAACAATTTGATTCTATTTCTTAATTTTTTAGATACTTATGTGATTATAAAAACTATAAGAGCATTATTCGTGATAAGCATGTACACAAAATAATATTTTTTAATAACAAAATAAAATTTACTGAGTCAGAGTAGATTTACTGGCGATAATTGTGACATTGACATTAATTGCTGCATTGCCAATATAATAACTATATCTCTTATCCTGATCTAAGTATTACAATTATCTAAGAGATAATTCGAAATTATTAATCAATATTTTTTTTTGAGAAATCAAAGATATTGGTGTAGAAGTAATCCAAAGTATAGCTGAAGTAGATTGCTGTTACAGCAATCTTTATGCTTACTCTAATTATTTAAATAGCTATTAGAACTATCTAGATAGCTGTCACAACTACCGTAACCGTACGAACAAATGAAGTATTGCTACAGTAGCAATAATATGGATCTTAAGGGTTACAGTTATTTAATCTAAGGGGTACAGTATTGTTCTTACGATTATAAATTTTTTCAATGTATCTTATATTGCTCACACAAAATGCGTGCCGATCATCGAATAATAATTTGAATTTTTTAACTAATAAGGGATTAGTCAATTATTCATATATGTTGATTACTGATTAACTTCATAGGTCCATGTAAATTCATAAATAGAATTACTACTTCTTTAACAAGAAACAAGACTGGCTAATCTATGGCTAAACATTGGGTGATGCCATGGCCACCACGGCTAATTTAGACTGGTACAGTGTTGGGTTAGAAATAGGCCGGTCTGTCTTCTGTTAAAGTTATTCATATATTTCAAGTCAATGTTTTCGAAAATGTATTGATAAAATTAAAACTTACCTTCATTTTTAGGTCACTGCCGTTCACAAAGCAAACATAATGCGTATGTCAGACGGTCTTTTTCTCCGGTGCTGTCGTGAGGCTGCTAAAAAATTCCCCAATATCAAATTTGAGGAGCGATATTTGGACACAGTATGCCTAAACATGGTCCAGGATCCTAGTCAATACGATGTGTTGGTGATGCCGAATTTGTACGGAGATATTTTGTCTGATATGTGTGCTGGTTTAGTAGGAGGACTGGGTTTGACTCCTAGTGGAAATATTGGTCTAAATGGTGCATTATTCGAATCAGTTCACGGTACAGCTCCAGACATTGCTGGACAAGACAAAGCAAATCCAACAGCTTTGCTTCTTTCTGCTGTTATGATGCTTAAATACATGGGATTGAATGATCATGCACGAATCATTGAACATTCAGCTTATGATACTATTAAAGAAGCTAAATATCTCACTGGAGATCTTGGTGGTTTAGCAAAATGCAGTGAATACACTAATGAAATTTGTAAAAAAGTTCTTGCTCAGTCTAAGTAGGAGAGACCTATTTCTCGGGAATTTTCCAGCAAATTCTTTTCATGAATTTAATGATCAATTGTTATCATTTAATCATCAGTAATTCATGCTAAAATAATCTGCCAATATATTTATTATGAACATGATAATCATGTAAGTTATTCTATTTATGATTTAGTTAAAAGAATCATTATAAAATAAATTGATCGTCAACTTCATGATTGATTGTTAAAAAAAAATTCCTAAAAAGAGATGAGAATATTTGTCTGATCGTAACTCACCAAATACTCGTAGTTAGAGATTCCTGTGATAAGAAAAAATTTTGTCTCACGGGTTTATTGTAATTTTTTTCGCTGCCAATTTGAATTTCTAAAAATTATATATCAGCAAACAGTGTTACAATGTATGAGAATAATTTTTTAATGCCAATTATTGAAATCAAATAATTAATTGTTGAGTATACAATTATTTAAGGCATTTAGGAATGTATTTTGAACATTGTAATTAACCAGAAACAGTTGTGGGAAACTATTTAACGTCCGTTTCGTAGTAAAAGAATCACTTTTAAAGTCATCAAGTGAAGCTTCATTGCGTTTTTAGTGAACTTTTTAATAAATTACTTTTTGTCGCGTTTTGTGATAATTATCACTTATTATTGGCAATTATTTAATTAATTGATTATTGATAATTGTTAATAACCATAGAATCAGAGTTGTATCATATTTTAAAGTCGTTGTCAGTGAAGATACTGAACTAGGTACGAACGTGTTTGTGCAGTATTAAAGTTCAATAAAGATAAAATAATTAAAAAAAAAGTCTAAGTGTTTTATTTAACAATTATCCATTAGAAATTATATAATTTATTAAAGTCAATTTTACATGCAACGTTTACAAATAGCAAATGGTATTTTGAATACTTTTACTCAAATACTTTACTAGTTTAATTGACTCCATATTGATTCTTTGAATGTAAGTAATTTATTTATCTACCTGAACATAATTTTTTTCTGCTTAATATACCTTATGTGCAGCGGAAAAATTTTCAAAAAATAAAGTGAAGCCAAATTCTACGGTACAATAAGTTTACAGTTCCGTTTGTGATTAAAATCCATTCTAAGATGCTATAGAAAAGTGATCAGTGGGAAGTTATTGTAATGGGTCCGATTTGGCAAATCCCGAATTTTGACATATCTCTACGTTTCAAGGTTCCTAGAGTCGAACATGACAGTTTTCCAGTGTACGTCTGTGTGTGTATGTACGTATACGTATGTATGTGTTCGTACGTGCATTCGGAATTTTTTTTTTGTCTCGATTATCTTGAGAACAAAAAATGATATTGACTTTAGTCGTGTGGACCTTTCGGGTCGCGCTCTGACCATTGCAGAACACTGATATTTTTCAAGTGTCCGAAAAAAAATAAGGGTGTTGGTGGGTCGCACGAATAAATTTGTTATTTTCAAATATCGAAGCGTCGTTAGCGCAAACTGCTGTATGTTGAAAAATTCTGTCTGTGATTACAATTAACTTGAGTGGACTTTTATTCGTACATAAAATATAACTTTGATTGTTTTTACTATTTTTTTTTAACTTAAGGGTTAAAAATAATTAAAGTTACATTGGTCAATACTTGTGGCTCATTTAATCAACACGTAAATACAACAATTTTTACGTTTGAGTACAAAAATACACTGTTAATTTTTATAAAAAATTATTCAATTACGGTAAGTTTAATTTATCCGACTAGAGTCAATGCACCAATAAATAAGCGATTAAGAATATCGATCATTTTATGATTAATTGCTAAAAATTAAATGATCAGTAAAACAAGAGTATTTGATAACGACAAATACATAAAATATAAAAAAAAACACAACTTTAGTGATCTATCTGTTACAGTTAATGTGGAAAGGAATAGTTGAATAAGGTGTTAAATAAACTTTAGAATACGCACGTAACATTAACAAGTAGAATGTATTGATTAACAGAAAAATGGAAATTACAGTTACTTAATAGAATAATAACTGACCAAAAGCTTTCTTGTTTACAAATCGACTTTATCTTTCAAACAGATTTATTACAAAACTGTTGAGTTATTCTAAGGACGACCTAATCACTCATACACTGATATAAAGTATTGATGAGCTTCATCCCTCTCCAAATTACCTTACATTTGAATTTGGCAGTCACTTGAAGTACGAAAACTCATGTATCAAAACTATCTTCAAAATACTAAAAGTAATTATTAAATCTTTGGAAAAGTAAAACATTCACGTGTTAAGTGCTACTGAATCAGTTTCGAAACAATTCATCCCAAAACTTTTTTTCATTACTCCAGAAATAATCTTGAGGATAGCATTACTTCAGAATAGATCTAAAGCAGTCAATTTGAAATCATTTGGAAACTTTATTAATTTACACAAAATATGGTCCTTCGGGCAAGGATGTTCTCGTCAAACTGAAAACTGTTAACATATTTCAAATAGAACGAGGAATTAAGCTGCACGTTAGAGTGTGTGTAAATATGTTCATTATAATATATCTCTAACAGATAATAATACTTATAATAATTTGATTTCTTAAGTAAATTTAGATATTCCCTTCAAGTAATATACAAAAAAATGATTTGGCGAATATGATAAATTATAATATTTTTCACAAGATTACATTTTTAATACGATTTGTAATTTTTTCGTACATATTATTCAAATACTTATCACATTAGATACGTTTAGTACAGCCATTATATTAATCAGAACGAAACCGACTGTCGAAGAATGGAAAAAGGGAAAAATTAGACAACTTAGGAATTCTTAGGTTGTTTAATTTTTTAGGAATAATATTTAATATTAACTTATTCAATTTCAATAAATGTATAAAATATAATCACTTTTAATGCACTTGGAAGTGTTTTCAAAGTGTCTACAAATATTAATCAAATGGGTGACGTCATTTTAAAACACTTTAAGTGTTTCAAATTAAAAAATTTTCACATTTGAAATTTGCATAAAATTATCACAAAAAAAAACTTGTGATAATAAACGATAAATGAGAATAGGAAGTTTGTCATGTGGGCACAAAGTGCACTCAGACTTACGTTCTAATTTAAATATTGAACTTTGACTTATTATTTTTTTATAATGATGAAGAAAATCCATGTTTTAATGAATTACTTATTGCAATTATTTATGATGATCCAGATTATGAACAATGAAGATCTGAAACAAAGAACAAAACTAGAAAATGTATGAAATTTTATATCTGAGGACATAAAAAATGAAATAAAAGGTGAGTATAAAGTGTTATAACTGTAGAAAAAAAAGTTTCTCGGTGATTTGAATGGGCTCTTCATGCCTCCCCTGACGTTTATATTAGACTACCCTTGTGGTCCTTACTACCCTCTGTATACTCAAGCATATCTTGGTTGCTTCTCTCTCCCCACTCTTCTAGAAAACTCTTAAGTATGAGAAAAGTTGTCGGCTATATTTTACAGCTTGTGCAAACTGCCAAGCATCTTGGATGACGACAATAAAAGAGAAGAAAAGATGAAGCTCCAGTGTCATCTAACATCTTCCTCATTCCTCATTAATTCTACTGAGATTTATCGATATTTTTCTTATGAATAATGACCTATCATAAATTTTGTATATTGAAATGAAGATTTAATAGCTTATTAAATTTTTTCTTTCTCTACAGTCTAAATATTGTTATTATTATTATTTAATAAAGCTTAAAAATAAGCCATCATCTTTTAAAAAAAATATTAAATATCAGTGCTCTGCAGGGGTCTGGGTGCGACCCGAAAGGTCTATACGACCAACTTCCCAGTGGAAAAAATGAAAAAACAATTCGAATAGAACCCGTTTCCATTCTTTATAACAAATGGAATTGTTATAAACGAAATGAGTGTGTTTTTATTCATTTGATATCGTTAGTTACTTCATTTCAGTAAAAGAAAAAATTGTGCGTTAGAAGAATTCGAATATACCTTATAGATCCTTTTTTTCATTATTTACAACAAATTTCGTTGTTATACACGAAAAAAGTATGTTTTCATTTATCTGAGACGGTTGGTAATATTTTTTTAGTAAAAGAAAAAATTATGCGTTAAAAGTACTCATATATATAGGAAGGGTCCCTATTTTTATTGTTTATAACAATTTAAAACTTATTATTTGAATATTACTATGATCAATAATCACTTGTTAGTAACAATTTTCAATTATTATGAACACAATTCCATATTATTGACAATTATTATTGACTATTATAGCGTCTTTAATGCTGTTTTTTCAATCCTGACACGAGTTCAAAATTCTTTCATTGCTGATTTTGTTTTTTAAAATTTTTTTTTCGATGAAATATTGTCATCATATTTTCATACAAGTATTCTAATCATTTAATATTCATATTTTTTAAAAGATTTTGAAATTTTGTCTAAAAAATGGTATAATTTATAAATTGAGTAATTCAGGTCATTTTCCATTTTTGCTAGTTTTTTGGTTCTGCAACAAAAATGGCTGGACCGATTTTGCTGAAAATCTAATCAGTTCTAAGTTGCATAATTACGCGTCGAATGCAATTGGTCCCACATCGATATCATTCTTTGTTCTCGAGATAATCGAGGCGAAAAATAATTCCGAACGCACATACGTACATACAGACACACAGACGTCCACTGGAAAACGATCGCATTCGACTCTGGGGACCTTAAAACGTGGAGATATGTCAAAAATCGGGATTCGCAAAATCGGACCCATTACTATAACTTCCCACTGGGAAGTTAAATATAAAAATGGAGTACTATGATGGTGAATTAACTAAAACAGTATGTTGATTAAATTCGGCAATATTTTTAAAAATGAATATTGTAGTAATTTTAATTAATGTAAAATAGTTGATAATAACTTTCTTCAGCATAAAATTGAAGAAAGCTATACGGAGAGTAAAATAAATAGTGTGAATTAATAATCCACATATATATCCAACTATGTACATGCATATTCAACGAATATTAGAGCATTGGAACAATGAAAAAATTCACAGGCTAAAATTATTTAGATTTATGCTTGTGCTTCTGTCGTCATAGTGTCAGTGACGACGAGCTATTCGATTTCCGACGACAAATTTCATGAATTATTCAACGACTGCTGCAATGTATCCCAGTCAATAGAAATAATCGCTAGGAATAAATAAAAATATGTACTGTTGATTGTGGGTACTTTTTTTTATTCTTCAAACAATTGTCATCACTTTTCTTTATTATAAAATGAATTTTTGGTTGAAAAGTGTATTATGTAAAAACAGAAAAACAATTTTAGTCGAGCTACGGTTTCTTATTTCAAGTGAGGAGATCAGTACATATTGATAATCCAGGGGTAATGTTTTTAAATGATTCTCTTCTTTTATAATTAAATATAGAAATGTTGTAGATATAAAACTGCATATAAAAGATATAAAATGATAGATTGAAAAATGGTGGTCAATTGAAAAAAATCAATAAATAATAATTTTATTGTAACTGAACTGGATTCCACTGCGAAATAATTACCAAATTTATTATTTTTTAATTTTAGAATAAAAATAAAAATTTTTTGACAAGATGGTAATTTCATACTTTCGCGGTCCCCTCGTTTTATCGACAAGATTAATGAGAAAATATTTTGTAAGAATTTCTATTATCAACAAATCATTGCAACTATTATTATGATTAAAATAATTTCAAAATAGCGATTTTTTCTTGTTTTCAAAAATAATACATTTCACACGTAGAGAGGAAAAGTAGACTAGCTCAAACCACGTGGCTTAAGCTAGTCTAATTGTCCCCCTTAAGGCTGAATATGATTTTTCGTCATACCTATGTGGAAAGTTCAACCCCTCGCTGATGAAAAAGTGAACTTTCCGCGCGGGTGTGACGAAAAATCATATTCAGCCCTAGAGAAGACAATTAGACTAGCTTAAACCATGTGTTTACTACCCTCGCCTTCGGCTCGGGTTGTAATTTTATACGTGGTTTAAGCTAGTCTACTTTTCCTCCCTAGGTGTGAAATGTACTATTTTGTCTTCAACGAGCAGAGTACAGGGGCGCTGTGAGTGCTCAGTATCGTATTAAATACGTGAATAAGCAAAGAAAATTCAATATATTTTATTGAAGACGTCCTATATACAGGACGTATATAGGATATGTACAGATATTCAAAATACGCAAGTGATCAAGTACTATTGGTGAGGTCTCTTACCTTACCCTTATAATTAATCCGACAAATGATATCTCATACAAATTAAAGATATACTTCTGATTGAAAATTAAATATCTCAAAAACTATTCATCGTAGTACACGGAGAAAATATTGAATAAAAATTACTCTGGCATGGCAAGTAATCGTGGACATTGCACAAAAAAAATAAAATGCATCCTGAAAAGTAGTATAATTGCCCTTCCATTCTGTAAAACCCTCTATCTCGTAGCCAAATTGCCATATAAAGTACTCTTGTTCCAGTGTTATTATTTCAATCATGTTCCACGACTAGACTAGTATTCGTTGCTTTGTCAATGATACTCCAGTGGACAAATTCATTATCATAAAAAAATTATTTACAACAAATGTTTAATTACTTTCATCTGGCAATAAATCTCCTTAGTTGGAAGATTAAAAACCATCTTCTGAGACTTAAGAGTATGCCTTTTAACATCATATTGCAAACTCACGGACTTCAGTCATATTTTATACTCAAACAAGAGAAACGAACGAAAATGTTTTATTCAAATATTTATGGTATTTTGGTGATACTGACAATTGTTAACGCACGAATTGTTTACGTGGATCCGTCTAGAGATTATTACTCAAATAAACATGAGGAACAAGCCTCCAAGGATTTGGATATGACCTTTTTTGCTGGAGATCCTAGTGAATTTGACGAGAAAGAGTATATTTATCCTTTCAAAAAGGTAACATACTCTTATTAATAATAAAAATAATGATGTATAATTTTTTTGAAATGATAAAGCATGTGTTTTTGATGATCACTTTTCGTTTCTTAAGGTTTATTTTTCACCTGAACGACCTATTGTTGACATGACACATGAGATGGATTACCCAGTTTATTACAAAATGTCAGAAGTAACAGCTCCGAAGCGAAAAATAATCTACTCTGATGTGTCACCATGGCAAAGAACTCCTAAAGTCATGTACTTAAATAATCCGAAGGGTGAAATCGTTCTAGAACTTCGTGTTTCTGCAAATAGTAATAATAATAATTATAGCCCTAAGTTTGTCTGAAAGAAGAAATTCTTTAAAAAAAATTTTATAATTCCTTTAATAATATACAAAATAATTTTCTGGTGCATTGACTTACAGTGAAAATAATTCATTAGGCTCTATTAATACTTTTATTGAATTTATAATCAACCAGGATTGATTTTCACTTCATTATTAAAAGCTTATTAGAGATGATAAAGATGACGGATTTCAGTAAAGGAAATTAATCTCATCCATTTAATTAAATTTATTAATCGCATTTTTTCCACTTGTTTATTCATTTTAACACATTATTTCATATTATTAATACATTCTTAAATATACAGAAGTATCGGTAATGTGCTATTGTTAATTAATCTTTTTTTTTTGAAGATTATCTAGTTGATAAAACGAAAATGTCTTAATTTTAATGCCATTATTGTTTATATTAATAGAATAGTTATTTACAAAGATATATCACAAATAAGATTTATTGGATAGTTAAGTAAAAAGATTATTCTCGTTCTAAATTTTGTGGTGATTGCTGACCAATCGATTCTTCCTTGGGTTCTTTCACGTAATCGACAACTAATTCCAACCCGATGAGTGCTCGAAGGTCTTTCTCATTTTTATTAACACTATTTGATTCAGAGGGAGTTTTTTCATCTTCTTTGGTGCTTTTGTCACCTAAATAATATGAAAACATTTAGAATACAATTAATTTTACTTTTTTAGGTATAAGAAGGTGGAGAATTTAGTTATAATTACAATTTTATGATATTTAGGCATTTTTATGAACTTAGAAAAATTAAAATGCCTTCTTTAGGGTCAAATTACAATTAAAAGTCCTTTTCTAAATTCCAAGAGAAATTATGGGGACCCTTTTTAAGGTATGTGACGAGGACTTTTTAGGACAAATTGAAAATTTGTTTTTAGAGTTTAAGGTAGTACTATCGATTTTAGAATTCACGTTCAGAATTTAATGAAACTTGGTATATTGGGACCTTATAATATCATAATTGATCGGTTAAATTTTTAAAGGCCTACAGAAAACTGAAAAAAAATTTCCACAGTCAAAATTCTGAAGTATTCTTACAGTACAGTCATTTTTTTTTTAATTTTATTTAAATAGTTTAATTACAATCTGTTTGTGAATCTTTTTGTTTTTTTTTTAGTATAAAAAAACAAAAAGAAAACAATGAGTAATTCGGATGTTTGGATTTTAGGTACTGGAAAGTTTAAAGTAGAGTAAGAGAAAACCTTTGGTTTTCACTCTATGTATCTCTGTGGTAGGTTTAGCGGTTTGAACTTCTTTTGGAGTCTCCGAGTTTCTTTACTTCTGTCAAGAATGTTTGTTGCTAGTTGATTGAGATGGTTATTGAGTCTTTGGATGGATCGTTCGCTGAATCTTGCTATTTATTCTTTGATTGTTGACATACCGAGGTCTTCATGTATGACGTCATTCTTCACGAACCATGGGGCATTTACTAGTGTTCTGAGGATTTTCGATTGCGGTATTTGTATGATTTCAATGGAGCTGTTGCATGCTGACCCCCATAGTTGGATGGCGTAGGATAGTACAGTTATGACACCATTATTATAGAAATCTGAACGTCTAGTTTTGTGAAACAAAATAAAATCTGTGATTTACCGTAAGGATGAATGGTGAAGGTAAAAATTTTTCAAGATTAATTTTTTTATCAGTTCTCTGTAGACCTTCAAAAATTTAACTGATCAATTATGATGTTATAATATCCCAATATGCCACGTTTTATTAAATTCTCCACGTGAATCCTAAAACCGGTAGTACTACCTTAAAGAACAATCAGAAAATCTTTTTAGGTCCACATCAAGTTATCAATAATAAAGAACCTTACAAGAGCTGGTAAATGAAAATGGAATCATTCACAAGGTAATGAAGAAATAAAAGTTACTTACATTCCTGATTTTTCTTCTCTTCGTCTTTATTATCCTGTTCCTTTTTGAAGCTCTTTTCAATACCTTTATAAGTTTTAGTAAGATTTTTTAAAATGAAATTAGTTCCTTGTGCATTTTCATCACTTTTTCTCGAGCTTCCTGCTTCATCTCTCGTTAAATTAAGTGGTCGATTGTTAAATTCTTTAGACTGAGGAACACTGAATGCTGAACAATGTTTACTCTTGAAAGGTAATTGTCTTTCATTTATTTTCCGATCCCAAATGTGTCCTGAGACTCTCAGGTCGATAAAAAAATGCAGTGGATCAATCCCAGGATACGATTGATGCATGGGATAAGGTGGATACCACAGAGGATTTGGAATAAATTCAGGATTTGCTGAAAGACTATTGGGAATTCCAAAATTCTTGCTTTGTACATCTTCTAACTTAGTTGGAACACTAGATAAAATATTTTTTGTGCTAAAATCAATTTTATTCTTTGATTCACTCATGAAATTCACTTCTGATCCAACTTTTATCCTCTCTTCGTAATTCTTTCTTTCAATGTCTTGTTGAGTTATCGACTCTTCTGCTAAAGTGCGTGATGAGTCGTCGAAGAAATGTCGGCTGTGTTTCGAAAAATCTGTACGATTTTCATCAAGAGACTTCAACACTTCTGCCCCAAAGTGACCATTCTTTTCATCAAAATTTGTCGTAGGATTTTTGCCGTCATCAAAAGATTCACTTTTATATCGATTTTCACTGATATCACTGTGAAAATATTTTTCCTGGATACTTGTAGAGTTTATTTGATGTTGAGGTTTATCTTTGGTCGTCAATTCGAGTGGCCGATCTCGTGCTTCCTTCCATGACCTCTTGCGACGTCTTCCAATACTTGGAGATGGTACAGGTATCGATGATCCTGCCTCGGACTTGGCTTGTACAAAAGAACGAAGCATCTCACTGAAGAAAAAACTATGTGGTGTCAATGGTACGTTGTACAAATATGGTGGTGTTGCTGCGAGTAATCTGGATACTAGATCTCCACCTGATAGAGATGCAGGGGTCTTGAGTGTTGATGGGTCTCCAGTTGTTGTTGTCATGGCTATCGCCAATTAATTATCTGGAAAAGAAGTGAAACAAAGTTATGAGTGAAGAAAATTCAATGTAATTTCTTATACACTGATAGAAGTAATTGTTTACCCTGGTAGCATAGCCCACTATCAAGCAGTATTCATTTAAAATGTTATAAAATCTATCATGATTTTTAAAAAATTAGACCTATATCAACAAAATATTATTGTTGACTACTAAATCTCATCAAAAACAGCCCCCTTCTTCTGGGCTGTACAAAAATGTGCGCCAAACATAAATAACCCCAATGATGAAATTACAAAAAGTCCTAAAATCATTAAACGCTAATTATTTAAATCTACAAATCAACAATACATAAAATGAATTATTTCTTTCAGTTTTTTTTTTTTTTTGAAAAAAAATTTAGAACGTTTAATGACACAATAAACATAACAAAAAAAACTTGGCGTGACTATTAAGATTTTATAGAAGCATGAAATTGTGAAAATATTGAAAATATTTGGCGTGACTGTTATTTATTAATTGGCTTAAATATTTCCACAATTTCATGCTTCTATAAAATCTTAACAGTTTTTCAATTTCGTATATTATGAATGAAGCAATGATAATACTTCATTTCATTTTAAAGATAATATAATGGAGGAGATTATTCATAACTTTATATGATTCTAGATAATTATGTATTATTTAGAACAACAGTTACTTTTCATAAACAAAAAAACCAAAAGATAACAAAATTATGAATTTCGATTGATAGGAACCCGAGTAAAAATGATAGGCGTGTCCAAACGAAGTCCGATTCAAGCCCAAATCATTTTTCAGGCTCACAGAAAATATTTTTAGGTTTCAATTTGGCTCGTTTTGGGCACTGGAAATTTCTTCAAGTCAAGATTGGGCTTCAATTAGGTCAAGTTAGAGCTCAAATGGCAATTTTTCAACCTCGCTCAAACTTGGCTGGAATTTTCCTAGGCACGCTAAATTTGACTAGGGGTAGTTTTAAGAGGGTTGTGAACCCAGTGTCAGGGTGAAAAAGAGATAAGATTGCTCTAAAAGCTGGGTTTTCTCATTTTTCGCGTAAACAATTATGGAAATAAAAATATGTTTCAAATAAATGTTGTAGAGAATGTTAAAATCTACAACTTTTGTCTGGAACATTTTTTGCATTTATTGCAGTTTTCGCGAAAGATGCATTTAATGTTCGGAATTTTCGAAAATAAAATTTTTTTTCAATAAACTTAAGAAGTATGAAATTTAGAAACAAAAAGTCTTTAGCCATTTTAAGATTGTTTATTGGGCTTGTTTTAGGTTTTTTAAAGTAAATTTGATCTAAGTAAATCTATGTGTGTCTAGTGAGATCAATGTTATTTTGTCCCGGGATGCTATGAAACAACCTTTTTATAATTTTGTGAGCTATGGTTCATAAAGTGATGTAATGAATAACCAATAATTGTAATTTTATTATCTTATTAATTACTCATCCAATCATAGTATTTCGGTTTAAAAATAAAATTTATTAATTATTAAAAAATGATTCTTATTGAAACACAAATCCTTCTATTAGTATCAAAAAATTCTTGAAAAATATCTGTCAAATATTGTTAACCCATTTTTTTACCAGTTTACTATTTTCTACGTAAAGAAAGTATCTTTGTGGATTAATAAAACACCGAAAATGGCAACTTTTTCATTAAAAATATTTTTGCTGAATCAATATTGATGAAAAACTAGCAGAATAACAGAAAGCGATTTTTCAAACTCTCGAATCTGGATGTTAATTCTTGAAGAAGAGTATACAGAGTATACATGACAAAGTCTAGGTTTGTGTTGGTGAATGAGAGCAAAGAGATGGAGGCATGAGCATTGTTTCGAGGACCATTGTTTTCTCCAAACAAATGACGTCCACACTGTTCCGTCAGGAGATATTATGTTCCCGAGCAGACAGACAGGATGAACGGGAAATGGACTGCTGTCAGTATACTTCGTAATAAATAAAAGGGGAGGAGGACAGTCAATAAGTATTACAATATTTGTTTGGTTATTTTACATTTTTTCTAGTTGTTGTTTTACTTTTTTTTATGTGTGGCTAAAATTTTGTGACACAACAATTATGTTGGAAAACAAACTATAACTATTTGTTTTTGATTTTTTGATAAAAAGGATGGTCGTAATAATTTTTGCAAACCTCAAATAGAACTGCTGTAGTTGACGTCTTTAAATACGTAATGGAGGGGTAAAACAATTGAGAGATTGGACTCCTTAGAGGATTCTAATACCCCAGGACTGTCTCCTTGGAAATCAAGCACTCAAGAATAGTATTCAATTAATTCTACCTAACAATGGAACCCATCTACAACACTCTCTTCAACCAACTCTCTCCATGTCTTAGCATTTTATTCTTTAGCAAATTATAATCAAGTCTGGTGGAAATATTTCTTGAATACAATTTCGAGTAAAATAGTATTTTTAACATCATTCAGATGAATATAACATAAAATAAAATCTGAGATATAATTATAAAATTATAATAAAGTGAGGTAGAAAAAACTAATAAATGGAGAATAAGTGAATAAGCAGAATTTAAAATCGTTTCATTTCATAAATTCATGAGTTCAGAAAAAGCTAAAAATTTTGATTAAATCGATTAATGTATAAATTGTGTCAATTCTGCTTTAAAATAATTACAGGAGTAAATTTGTGTAATGCATTGCTTAAGTAAACATAAACATATAAAAACTACACTGAACAAAGAATAGATGTGAGAGCGATATTGTCGTGAGTAATTATTTTCCTACAACACCTGGTAAGTATTAAGTTTACTTATAAGAATTCAAAATTCACTGCTGGATAAAAATAATTTGACTTTCCGATTTCTAAACGTATTTGTTGGGAAATGGGCTTTTTTTTGGAAGGTGTCTTAGAATGTCCCGCCTTCCCCTACACTGAGCCTCGGGGCCATTGTACAGGGTCTGTTTGCACAGTAAAGTCTTATGTCTTAGGCCTGCAGGTTCCCTAAGTTCCCAAGTTGCTTTGGTTCCCTTCTGAGCCCCGGAACAGTCCCTGTCGATTTCCAATATATGGTGGTACGAAAGAACGTTATTTTTGCTTTCGGAGATTCCGCTAAGCCACATGGGCCCCCCCGGTTTCCTCAGCCTTAGGTAGACAAGATCTATAGAGGCCTGATGGTGTCAACCTTAAGAGGTCGTCCCAGTTCCACAAGAAATCGTCCTACCTTCGAAAATTCTACCGGTTACCTCAAGGGTCCTGGTTTCAGACTCAGCATCAGCAAGACTATACTACAATGGGGTGTCGCCTGGTTCCCCAAGGGCATCGTAGCGGAAATAACACTTTTTTTTTTTTAGGTCACGATGTCAGTATTGGGAAATGGGTTACTAAATAATATTTTAGAATTAATATTTTAATTGAAATGAAGAATATTTCAATGAAGAGTATTTATTTTTATTTAGAACTTTAGGAAGATGATCATTCAGTAGTTTTATCTGTTTGCTATGATGTTCTCTTTAGGAGAATCTACAAAAGTCTGGCCAACAATTATCTTAAAGTACTTATCCTAATTAAAAATATGAAGTATAGTCCACAGATGTCTAGTGGGACTCTAAGATTTATTTATTATTCTAAACAGATTCATTTCATCTCTATTTCATTTTTAAAGAGTAATAAGAATTTTGGCAGCGAGTATTTTTGATAGAATAGTGGAGCTAATGTTTAAAATTAAGAATTTCGACGAAGTGGAAGGGTAAATTTTACTCTTTCTGTCTAGTGTGCTACAACCACGCTGTATGACAGGATAATTTTTACTTAATCCTTCTCTCCTTGTGTTGATTGAAAAAAGTAAGCCTTTTGATCACATTGTCTATTTTTGGGATACACCATATGTAGAATATTATAAATTATTTGCATGGAAATGAGTAAAAATTACTCTGAAATTAATTGTAATTTGGATGTAGAATAATATTTACACTGTCAGACAGTAAAATTGACTCTTTCGAAATAATTTTTCGCAGAGTAGAAGAAAAATTATTGCCATCTTGCAGAGTAAATGTTACTATTCTGCGGGATAAATTTCACTCTGTCTGCACCGTAAATCGTAGTGTTTTAATTTAAAACACTTAAAGTGTTTTAAAATGACGTCATCCATTTGATTAACATTGTAGTCATTTTTTAAACACTTCCAAACACATTAAAAGTTACTACAATGTTAATCAAATGGGTGACGTAATTTTAAAACACTACGATTTGCAGTGTGTGCAGGGTACCTGGCTTACCTCACATTGCAGAATATTTTTTATGCAAACCTTCTTTTTCTGCGTATTTATGTATTAGACAAATCACGAGTTTTATTTATTGCAATGAACAATTGATTAATCTACTAAGTTTGTCACTATTCAACATTATGCCACATACTGCAGATATCTATAAATATGAACAAAGAAGAGAGGATTGGTTACCTTTACCATAAAGTAATGTTTAAGAAAATTTTGTAGTTAGTCTCAAGAAAATCTCTGAAGGATCAGATGCACTTTTCAGCACAATCCGTTATTTTTAAATAAAGTATCAATACTTTTAATATAACGGAATAATTTCAGTCTATATTTAATTAATGTTTCTTCACCATAATCCTGAATTTCTAACATAAGCTCTGATATTCATTAGCCTATCATTTAAATCATAGAAACTATAATGCACAGTTACTTGTATAAATGAATGTATTATAATTATGATCGTCTGAATTTTATAGCATTTAACTAATTCATATTTACTAATTCAATTTTTCGACGTCAAATATTTTTTTTCATCTCCTAGAGCATTTGCACTCACATTATAATGATAATTTTTATACAGAAAATTGAATTATACTTTTTAGCAAATATTACAGTTTATTGAATAAAAAATAATCTGCAAATGATTTTCATAGAGGTTTCATACATTTTAAAACACTTTATGCATAATAGAAGAGAATAAAGACAAATCTACTTAGTGGTAGAATATAAATGAAGCAAAGATAAATGTAGAAAAGAGATTATGTCTATATATATAATGATAATATATAATCTACAGACTTGGTTTACGATTCATAAGACAACTTGCAGATTGAATTAAGCTGTGCGCCAGCTGCCAGTTCGTATCACGCGTCTATTTCTATTCCGAGAAATCTGCATAATTCCGTCACGTCGACCACCCTAATTGGCGGATTGTTTCAATTTCTCAGCATTCTCGCTCTTATTTGCATTCACTTTGAGCTTGGAAAAAATTTTTTTAACCGAATTCTGAAATAATAAATCCATCATCAACTATTTCAGTAATTTTGTCCAATAAATTTTTGACTGTTATTAATTTTTTAAAATTAACCTCTATTGATGATCATCATTATTTTTATTTAGAAAATCATTTTAACGCCATCTATATGAACATATTTTTTTAATGAGATGTAGAGTGATAACACTTTTAAGAAGATCGATTCGTGTCAGGAATCAAAAATTAATTTATTAAATTCTCCCAAGTGATAGTAAACAATTATCAGAAATCAAATTCAGTCTTCCAACAGATTTCATCGATTAGTCTAGCATTGATGAATGTATATAGCTTAGCTAGAAGTTAGACTAAACACTAAACTTAATAGCACAAAAATATTGCACCTATGTAACAAGCAAATTCGAATGGTCAAGTTTTAGTTCGTTTTCGTCATTATTATTATTTATCTCCAAATTTATTGTTAACATAGGTTATTGCCATACTACTAGTCGTGCAAGAACAATGTTCAATTCTGCTAACAAACTATAGCATTTGTGTCGCCGAAATGTAGACATTTTGAGGTATGTCTAAAATGTTATGGTTTTTTTATGGCATTACCGTTATGAATTTCCGAATATTCTATTGTAGAAATCAACACTTGGGTTGTCTTTAGATTTGCAGTGTAGTGATTAAAAAATAATATTAATTTATAAATTTTACATCAATTAAATTTCATTAATTATTGATGGTCAAGTTTGGCCATTGAAGCATATTTTAAAATTAGACTTTTGTTCGTCGGTCTCATGCGAATGTAATTTCGACTGAATTCTGAAATTTATACATTTTTTATTACTAACATAGTAACTACGTTCACATGATTTCTCGCGCGGGCGTTTAAGTCTTTCGATTCGGCATTTAAGCCAGTGATACATGTGCTTGCTATTATCAGTGGTACAATAATTATTGTCACGATCATCATGATACTGACAATATGTTTTCATCACTTTTCCATCATATCCGAGTTCTTCTTCTAAGGCAATAACCTTCACTGTGGGATTGATGGCAATTAATCTGTTTAAAATATTCTCATTTAGAGTGTTTCTAACATAAATGACATCAGCTGATACTAAATGATCGCTAATAATTGCCTTTTGACTTTTCACTTTCAAATTTCCCGCCTCCCATGGAATCCCATATTTTGCTTGTTTTTCTTTATAATGCTCTTTTACTTCGTTTTCTAGCAGAGTGTAATCATAGGGAGGTAGAAAAACACCGTGAATCAGTGAAATGTCTTCATCAGTTGATTTAGTGATATATAAAATAGTGAATTCTTTTATGCGGTATTTCCATGGAGGCATTACATACACCCAGAAATCAAAAATAACTTCCATATATTGTGTGTGTGTTGATAAACAGTAATTTTTCAAAAAGTATTAAAATTTATTAGTAATTAAGCAAGTTGTTGTTCAGTGGAAATATGTCAATTGCTGATAAAAGTAGCAAGATAGCAATTACAGCTAATAATACTAGAACTATTTTATAATTAGAAAAAAAAATTCAAGGAGAAATTTTTTTTTTCATGTAATGTTGCTGATATATTTATTCAGTGAAACATCTAGTGATTTAGTTCAATAAGTATCAAATCAATTTTTAACTTTTTTTTTACACTTTTTTTTCTAAAATAAATCATCAGTAACACTAAGTTTAGTGAAAATGTCATTTAAATTGACGCTGATGAATATTTGAACAATTCTTTCGATCTTTTTGATAGTTCAGTGTCAAATTAAAATATACACGAAACATTTTTCAAAATTTTTTTATTCACTAGTCTCAATAGACGATTTTTTTTTTGTGTATTGATAAAAAAAAAAACAGTTTCTTTCACTGATTAAAAACAAATAAGTTCATTTACGGTTTCAAACAAAAAAACGTTAACACGAAAAAATGTTTACCCCAAGGGAAATAGAACGTTACCTAAATAAATGAAATATCGAATCAGTGAAACATAAAAGTTCTAATTTTTAATCAGAAAGAAAAGAATGCAAGCGTTGAAAAAATTTTTTGCTACTTACCAAATATTGTAGTCGATTATCACGTGGTGTGTCACGTTCTCGACCGCTTCACCGTATTTTACAATCCTTAAAGGATCCCCAAAGCCTACTAGCGACACGTGTGCACCTAGTGCTAGCAAATGAGATAATAATCGAGGAACGGGTGAGTTTGTGGTCCGAATACGATCGAGTCCACAGGGAGAGAAAGAGCACAGATCGTTGGAGAATGACAACGACTGAAAGAGCTTGAGAAATACTCGCAGTGGGGGTTGGATTCCACTCCCAACACTACAACTGAGTCAAGCAAGTTTGTGTGTAAGAGAGATGCCATACTGTATGGGGGTAGTGGTTTTTGAAATGATCCGGCCAATCTGCGCATCATTTCCCTTCTCTGTTGTTCCCTCGTCATATCATCCCTCTCACCCCCTCCTCCTACCCCCCTTACAGTCACCCGCCGTCACAGCCCCTGTTGAATGCCACATTCACCGCCAAGTGAGTTAGGATGAATCTGAGACATTGCAGTTGGTGATTTTTTTTTATTCTCTTTCCAAACACTTTCTAAATCATTAAGTTTTAATTCCATTCTAATGATAGTTTTTTATTTGATTTTTCTTGAAGTTCTATGTCTTTTTTATCATTTTATTATTTCCCGCCTTTTTTATCTTGACAAATCAACATTTGGCTGATTTTTTTAATTACTAAATTTTTTAAGGCTGACTTAAGAGCTACTATACTACTTAATTAGGACTATTTTTTGAATAGAGTAATTTAAGTTTAGGCTGACATTTTTTGTTTTCATTTCAAACTCTAATTCTTGTCAATTTTAATTCGTTCAGAATGTTTGTCTTCAATTAGAATGCAAAATTATTATAAAAATTTGACAGATTTTATTTAAAAAAAAATGATTATTGAATATGGTAAAAGCTTGAAATGTTTAATATTTTTTTCCAATTTCTGCTGAAGATTCTAAAATATCAACTCGTGGCTCAAATCACGTGAATTGAGAAGTTTATTCACGTCTTCTTGAAAATATCTATTTCTTAAACTTTTCGCCTGAATATCTCCACAGCTCCACCCTACGATTTACATAATATCGTATATACAAGCTTAGCATCCACGCGCGACTTATTTTGTTCGTTCAATCCTTACAAAAGCTCATCTAAATCTCGACTAATATATCTTCATTTCGAGCCATAACAAGACTGATTCAAAATATGTTGTACTACTGATTCCAAGAATTTTAGTGAGTGAAACAATCAGAGTGTAGTCCGATATTTTTTTTTTGTTATCTGAAAAAATTTATACGGTAAAACGATCTACATATGATATTCGAATACATTTTTTATTACATTTTTTATGCGTTGAAATATTTCTCTCAATCTATCTAATGATTTATTCACATTCCCACTACCAACCATAAATCTTTAGACACAAAATTGGTATGTTTATATTTTCAGTGGAATTTTTAATTCAAATAAAATTATCAAATATATCAACCGCTTAAAAATCATTGCCAATCTCATGAAAATATTTTTTCCTAGTAATTCATATCACCGTCTAATTTATCTAGTACTTTTTTACGATGACAACCTACGCATCGGAAATTCCTTACACGCAGAGAAATGTATAGTAATAATTATTTTGAATTTTAACGTAATTTGGTGACACTGCAGTGTGAGGGTAAAAATTACCATACACATTGTAAAAATTACTAAACTGCATAGTAATTTTTTCTGATTTTACCCTAAAAATTACTTTGCAATTTAGTAATTTCACAATGTGGATAGTAATTTTTACCCTCACACTGCAGTGTCACCAAATTACCATAAAATTCAAAATAATTATTAATATACATTTTTCTGCGTGTAGTACTTTTTTATGATGACAACTTACGAACCAGAAATTCCCTAGAACAAAAAAATTAGTCTTGATACAGTTTTTTTTTCTTTCATCAAAAATCGAATATTCAATAGATTCGATCGTCTTTCAATACTCTCGCAGTCAAACCAATAAGTAATTTAATTGGTTTACAAAGTTTGTCATCAAAATGGCTATTAAATAACCAACCTCAAATACGTAACAAGTTAAATTGACATTTCCAGACGAAACCCGCTTAAAAACACAAACTCGACCGACTTACGATGGAGATAATGTCAGGACGGTAGAGGGGATTACTGTCGAAGGAGGACACTGAAGAAGGGTAGATGTAGACGAATCGTCGGTGTTTAAAATTCCCGTATGACTCGATGGTGACGACAGAATGGTTTAGAGGGAGCAGGTCGTTGGAAACGAAGCAAACGAGGTGGGACAGACGAATGTCGGTTTTACACCCAGGGATAGACATTTGGCTCGCGCGAGACGACACTATGGGTAAGGGGTGAAGAGAGTACAGGCGAAAAGAGGGAGGGGGTAAAAGGGGCTAAATCGAGAGCTGACAGATTGCCGCGAGGACAAATAAGTGTATCCATAGTCACGAAAAGCAGTCGCGTAGATTTTTGAGTGAATTGTTTTCTACCTCTTTCACTTTCCCTCCACTGTACTCACCACTTTTGTCCTTTTTCTTTTTTATACCCTCAGGCACATTTTTTTTCACATGGGTATCACCCCCTAAGATACTTATGCTAACGTCTCTTTACACCTCGCTATTTTTATTTCAATTTTATTTGACTCAGTGAAAAATTTCAACAACTTTTAAGCAATCTTCTCAAATAAAAAAATTTTTGAATAATCTTTTATTCCCTCCATCTTTTTTTCTTCTTATTCATCAGAACTTAAAATATAAAATGCTATCAGTCTTCAAAGTACAAGGAAAATCATGATTTGCAATGCTTTGATGTAATAAAAATTCTTCTGTATTTAAATCATTAATATTCTAGAATAGTAGTAGTAAAGTCAAGTTTTGGTCAGACTTCCTCAGGGTCTCAGAAATGAACAGTGTATAACTTTCAAAAAGTATAGAGGGATGAAATGTACTCCCTGCTTATAAAGAGTAGATCAGAGATTAATTTTTTATCAAAAATCCGGACAAAAAAGGGTAATAATCTGTTATGATAGAGTAAGAATCCCGAAAGCTAAAAAACATCAAGAATTTTTGAATGATTACTATTTAAATTTTCTGCTATTGTATTTAAATTTAATTCACTATCATTAATAATAATAACACTAAAATTATAGTAAAAAATAAATGACTTCACTGAAAATAATGAGAAGAATGAAAAAAAAACCAGAGTCAAATGCAACGACTATTTATCCGAAAAACTAGAATTCAAATTCCAGTGGTACAGTTGTCTACATTATATGGTTACGATTATAGAAAGAGCGAAGATATTTGAATAAAATTTTTCCATCATTTCTAAAGTATATTTGAAAGAGCTCCCTCTACTTGGCTAAGTACTCTCCTCTCTTGTAATATTCCCAGGGTAGCAGCGGAGTATTTCTGTCGTCTCTATAGTCCCTTCCAAGAGATGCAAATAACTGGTGATAACAACAGATATCTGCGTCGTTGGAGTAGAGTAAAGAGAGAAAGAGAGAAAGGGGTATGAGGCAGATGTAGATAGTGACGAGTAAAGAAGAGGTAGGAGTATAAGGGGGTTTGGTGGCATTGGTTAGCAGAACTGGTGGGGTTTTAGTGATATCAAAAGCCGCGAGGTGGCGCGTGCGGGGCAAGAAGTAGCACGAGTAGTGGTGGGGAGAAAGTTAACGGTTACGCGGGATGAAGAGTAGGAGAAACATCAACGTCAGTGGAACGGGAGACGAGCTCTAGGTGACAACAGAGTAAAGGAGTGCAGAGGATGAGTTAACGCAGGGATAGGCGCACAGTTAGGGGTTGGATTCTGACTGAAATTGAGGGAGGGAAAACGTCACTGTCGCATCGAGCGCTCAACGATGAGTGGCGCGTGCTCGTTCGTCTTTTGTTTGCAATCTGTTGTCTTTCCCTCGCACTTCCTATTTTCTATCTCTTTCTCTCTCACTCTCTTATGCTTCTTTAGATTCTACTCTGCAGTATCAGAACTTTTTTGTACTCTCTTTTATCCTTTTTCGTTCTTACATTTCCTTATTTTATTTTTCAACGTAAACTTAGGGAATATCTTTTTACTGCCATAAGTAATAAAATTCATTCTTTAGGGATTTTTCTTTTCCACTAAAAATTATTGAATTTATTTTAAAAATAATTCTTGTATTTTATTAACTTCCCATTCGGAGTGTTAATATAATGAGTCTGAATTGAAAATTTGGACATATCTTTACATTCCAAAGTCCCTAGAATAATAATCCATCATTTCTAGATATATCTCTGTATGGAAACATGTTTATAAACTTTTTTCGTCTCAGATATTTCGAGAATAAATAATCGAATCAATTCCAGGCCAATTTCATTTAAGCCATAAATGTATAATGAAGTGGACGATCGAATTTGCGTCGAGACCTCTTTTTTTATTATTAAATTAAATTCAATGACTGCAAATCAAAGTGCGTAAAAACTAAACACTTAAATTGTTTACAATGTTTAGGGCCATAAACAATGCATATCAGATTTATAGACGAATTTTGAGCACTTAAGTGTTTAATTATTAAACATGTTGAGAGTTGTATTATTGAACACTCGAATTATCCTGGATTCGCAGTGGATAAATAAATTTATTAGACATTGAAAAATAAAATGATCTGTTTGATATACCTTTAACTTTCTGGACAACCCTCGGGTCTCTGAGTCCTGAACTAAGTTGGCGATGGCACGACAAAGGTGAGAGTATAACGGAGGTCTTGACCGGAATGTCCCTTTGACACAAATACATTTATAAAGTCTTGAATACACAAACTCTACTCATATGTTTGTAAATACATGTTCTACTTTTTTTTCGTATTAAAAATAAAATATAGATCTAAAAAATTGAATTAACATTAAAATAATTATTTTTAATGATTTATTTAAAATGGTGATTCATTAATTTTCAAGATAATTACCTACAGGAAAGTACTACCAAGCTCATTGGAACTTGTTTCCGAACTCAAATGGCATCCGGCACAATTAAATGGCTACGTAAGTTATCCCCTAAGTTTCTCAATTGTTAGAAGATGAGTCTGAGAGAGACAGTAGGGTCGCAAACAACTCTGATTAAATATCTCGTTCTGAGAAATAATTGATGTAGATAATCTACATTTTGTTTTCACTTATGAAGTTTATTTTTATATTCAATTTTATCATT